ATGTGTTATATATTGTCATATTGTTATCACATATATGACTTATCCTTGTCATATTTGTCATATGTATGTATATATTATATATAAAATTGGTTAGTTTCTGCATAATATATATCTCTCTGTTTAGTATAATATTACCGCCTAAAAAGATTCGGCAATATTTTACATCCTGAACTTGGTGGAGAATATCAGAAAAGTAAGCCTGTTGTGAGGTATTTTCTAACCGCCCCATGAGTGTCTCTGAATTTAAATCGATCTTGGAAAAAAGGGAGATAGATGGCAGCCCACTAATGATCTGAGGTGAGACAGGGCAGGATGCAGATCAGCAGGTGGAGCGGGCCTGCCATTGGCCACTTCCATCCTTCTGCTTTGCAGTCCTTGGACTCTGAGCCAAACAGGGTTTGGCAGACACTGTATATCAGGGACATGCAACAACCTCACAACAGGAGGTAAATATTATCACCTCCATGTTATCAATTAGGAAATAGTTCAGTTCTGAGACTTGCCTGACACCCAAGTCCTTCTTTTTAACAGTTTCACTGTGCTACTCTCCAGCAATCTTCTGTTAAACGTCTACTGTATCCTCAAGACTTGGCTTCTGCTCTTGGCAGTGTTTGTTCTCATTTTCAGACACTTTTGCTCCAGATTCTGATTTTTGTAACTGGTATTTTAAAAAATGGTCATATTGGTTGTATTGAAAATTTAATTGGAAAATGGAGGAGTGGTGTACATTGATGAAAGCATCACTAAATTTTATTCAACTCATCAGGGTGACTTACTCTCTCCCCAGAGAGATAGCATCTCTCTGTTTTCCTTCTCCAAAATCTCATTGTTTCACTCCTTTATCCACAGACACTAAAATGCCCTTCCAAATCTCTTCTTCTTGTGTCCTCAGTAAGAAGAGTTTAAAATAAAACTAAATAAGGGGGCCCAGCAAAATGAAAGCTCTGTTCCAAAAACAAGTTCTGGGTTTTTGAGTGAGACTCCATTTATATGGCCACTGAAACGATCTCAACAATCAAGGTCAAAAGCCCCTCTCATTATCTTTATTGTGATGGAACGGTATTGCCAACTTAGATTACAAGGTTAATTTAAAGATAATTACTTCCACTTCCTTTTGGCCTCTTCCTGATTAGCCACTCCAAATGTGTACAGTAAAAAAATAATTAATTAATTAAAAGTGTAAGATTCCTGTGCTTTTAGAGACTTGACAGTTGATGTGAATGAGTGGAATAGCCCCATGGATACTAAGGTGACTGTGACGATGGCTAAAAGAACAGAGTTACCCAGCTCCAGTGAGTGTTGCCATGAAGGTATGCAAAGAGGACCTAGATTTTACACTACAAAGTAGAAATCCAAAGACTTATGTGAAATTTCTGGTTTTTGAGAAATAACTGCACCTTTTGTTCTATATTATATGTACCAAGTAAAGTTCAATGAACTATCTTGTGATCTCTGCTATAAGAGCTGAACTTTTATCTAGAGTTCTGTTTCAGGTCGGTCTACCCTACCCACTCAGCCTGACCTCTTCCTGAAATCTCACTAATCCCATGGCTTCAGTTACCAACTGTGTCTGAGAGCTCTCATCTGAGCTGGCAGAACACATGCATAACAAGGTATAGACAGAGGACAGGTGAGAGCATACAAATGAAATATATAGGGATGCTGTCCTGGAAAACAAAGACACACTTTTTCATTTTAAGTAGAAAAGATTCAATTATAAATAACTAACTTTCATTGCTGCTTTTATAAAATTGAGAAGATATGGGAGATTATCTATGTAATTGATAAAGTTTCACATTCTAGAATTTGTGACTGGTAGGCTGGCTTCATAGGCTCTCCACTAGCTCCTCTGTGATCTGTTCCCTGCCTTCCTCCCCACTGGACTTTCTCGCACTCATTACGCTCTTGGCTCTAGGCACATTGGCCCTCTTTCTGTCCCGGCAAACGTTCAAGACTTTGCTTTCTCTCCTCCCAGATCTTCAAGTTTTGCCTCTTTTTCATTATTTGTGTCTCAATTCAAACATCACTTCCTCCAAACAGTTTTCCTTGTCATTTCCGGCTCAAGCACTAATTTTATCAAATGGCTCTTTCTACCATTTTGCAGTTTTTCTTCTTCAGAAACTTACCTGAAATAATATAATTTATTTATTTGCATGATTAATGTCTATCTGTTCACACGAAGGCAGGGACTTGTCTACTGTTCATTGAAAATATCTTCAGCTCCTAGAATAATAGCACATAGTAGGTGCTCATAAATACATTAACTGAATCTGTATGGACATGCAGGAGCAGAATAATCCAACCTTTGAAATCCTAAAGATTTTCAAGATGGTTACAAAATGGCAACTCAACAGTATGGTTTTTCTAAGTGTGTCTAGTGACCTCTGCTGGAATATTTACCAAGGGAACCAAATACAAATTATTTTTTCCTAATGGTCCTCTCACCTCTTTTTATAGAATGATAAAATATTAGTGTGAGTGTGAAATTAGGGATCAGGAACTGTTGAGATTCCTTCTCCCATGTTGGGGAAATCCCGCTTCCCTCTCTGTCTGGATGACTGCTCTATGTCTGCTCTTAGTTCACAAATGTATGCTTTTAGTGTAAATCCTGGAGGAGTATTCAGGGATATTTATTATCCCTGATCTTATTACATAAATGAATGCGTTTCTTTTCACATAGATCTGAAAGTGGGGGATTCACCCAAATATCATGGATGGATGAAGATATGTCTCATGGACATATTTCATGTGGTTCCATTTATTTCACATTTGTTGATTCAGGGAGCAATTTTGAAAAAGGCATTCCCACTACAAAGAAAATATTTGGTAACATGTCCTCATGTTGGGATAATAGGGTCAAAAGAGTTATATGTCTACCTTGAGGGGTTCTCAGGAGAGGATGCATTGCTGAGAGTGCTGGTCCTTAAAGCAAAACCTTGAGTGAGATCCAGGAATCAAGATTTTCAAAATAATGAGAGTGGGGATGAATGAAATAATCATGAGGTAATCTGATTAAACTTTCTGTTTTACTTATTCTCTGTACGGTATCAATGTATGTACATATGTTCATTGCATACAATTTGTAGAATACTAGTAAAGAAAAAGAGAATGCATAAATATTAATCATCAGTATCACCTAAAGAAACCAATGTAAGAATTTTATTTATCTTTATGTCAGTCTTATATATACTTCACTAGTAGAAGTAAATGTATACTTTTTGTACAAAATTGAATCAATTGTACTATTTATTTTGCTTTACATGTGATTTATTTTTATTTAGTATGTCATGAAATATTTTCATTGATCTAAGGTCATTTCTCTCAAAATATAATTAATTATTTGAGCAGTAATATATGCATGTGGCACAATATTCAAAAAAATTCAAGAAAAATAAGCCTCCTTTTTACTCCTTTCCTCTGCAACAGTAACTATGAGGGAATGCTTTTAAGAGACCACTGTATTTGTTATGAGTAAAAGGGAAAGTTATTAAAGTGGTTAATATAGTGCCACATACTATAGCTGAGAAGTGGCAGATTGGACATGGCCCCCAAAATGATCATTGTACAATCAAGCACATGGTACCTGGCACTTACTGTAAATCAATGAAGTGTTACAGCGTAATTTGGATATTGCGAATTGGCCATCCCGGGGCTTGTTTTTCCCTGAGCAACCAAACTCAGGGCTGCCGAGGCCGCACACTGCACACTCGCCGCTGCGTCACCCCGTCCTCCCATTCCCACTGCTTGTCAGCACGCCCTTCTGTTCGGTGTTGTGGGGATTTGTATTTGCAGGACTCACAGAGGTTATGTCAACACAAGCAAATCATTTTGTGAAAGAGAAACTCATTGTGATAATTTGGGCTCCTATCTTTACTACTTTAATGCTTGATTTTTTTTTGATTAACCACAGAACATCTCTCTTACCAAGTGAGGGACTGATGAACTGCATACTTAAATTTACTTTTATAGACATAGATAAGAATCACATATGCCAGGAATCATGAAAGCCGTTTACTTGATTCACATTAATTTATTAATATTAGATACTATGAGGTAATGAAATATGGTTTTATCTATTTTAAGTAATTAAAATGGGGCTTAAGTCAATAAGGCCAACTGTACAAAAAATGGCTAAAGACCTAATAAAAGGTTACAAATAGTACTACTAATAATAAATAGTAAAAATAAAATAGTAATAGTATGAACAAGTAACACATTATTTTATGATAATTCTGCTTGTAATTCTAATGTGAAGAATATTTTGTGTGAATTTCAGTTCTATTGTTATACAGAATGACAATGTAAAAATATTGATTGTAAGCTAAATTTATAAAGTAATATATTTCAAAATTAAGCATGCTTGTGTATGCCACTAATCCATTTAGGAACAATCTAGAATGCATCTGTGTGTTTGTGTATGTGTGTGTGTGTGTGTGTGTGTAAATTAATTAGCATGTACATAAATACATGAAAAAGTAAGTATTTGGCATTTACTAGCAGGTGACCTTGGTTATATCCCAGAACCTAATATATTTTGCATTTTACCCATCTTTGGACATTTTTATATACATTAAATTATTATTTATCAATTCAAAATATTTGCAGTAAAGTACAAATAGGACTAATATTAATTTCTACTGACTCATAGATCAGTCAAAACTACATTCTTTGCATGTGATACTCACACACGTACATTTATATTTTTTTCACGGAGAATTTTTAAAAAAGAAATTAAGAAAAGAAAATCTAAAATCTATACTTATCTTCAAAATCACATTTGCAGATGTAGAATAAAAGAACTAGGAATAATTTTTTAATGTTCTAGAACTGAGAATCAAAAGAGAGAATTACACTTAGGAAATATAAAATGATTGAAAGCATATGAAAGTATAGAGATAGACCCCGGCCAATTCTACATGTGATCTAAAATGGTCTGCAAACTGTATAAGGGGAATCGCTAATCTCAGATCACTTTGGAAGTGATGAAATAAACATTGGTGACTCTGTGAGTCTAGGAATTTGGTCAAAAGGACAAGGGCTAAAGGTCTGGACATGTATCATGATCAGTCTAGAAGGATGGCACTGTCAGAGGGGGTGCTGGCCTAAACCCCAGACTGGGGATTTCACTTGTGATAGCTAGCTCTGGGTTGTTTGGGTCGATTCAGACCGGAGATACTGTACTCAGTGGACCCACCTGAAAGACAGCAAAGAGAACCTGACAATTCCTCCTTCAGCCGGTAGTTCGCTGATAAGCACAAGAGATTTCATTCTGCTGATACAGTCCTATGAGAAGCTACCTAAGCCTGAGATCCACCAGCCTTGAACCTCTGCGTTTCTAAAGCACACCACTACTAGAGTTAATTGAGAGTGGTTCAAACAGGTTTCAGGGACTGGAAGAAGAATGCTCCGAGGCCGATCCCTGTCTGTGACATCCCTCAGCGGGCTTCCCCAGTGGGAAGTTGAAGAACTTCCCGTGGAGGATTTACTGCTCTTTGAAGCCGCTTGGGAAGTGACCAATAAAGGTTTGTGCTGGCCCTGAAGGTGGATATTTGACAGATTGCTGAACAATGTAGATTAGGAGAATGAATTAATGAAATGAATTGCCAGTCAGGAAGTATTCGAACTGAATATAAGTTTACATTTCACCGTGTTTATTTCTACAGGCAATAAAAACTTAGACTTGTGTATATGTGTTGAAGGGAAAGTTGAAAGTATTAGTTTTTGCCAGCAAAAGTGCATTTAAATTAAAATTTGAAATCCATGTTATGGCAAAATAGAAGTAAAAAATTGTTTATTTACTTTTTAGTTTCTATGGTTTTTTCAGCAAAAAGCACAACTTTATGCTTTATTTTATGAAGGACTCTACCTGGTCAGGATCAAATAGAGACTTTAATTTTATATATGTTAGCCATTTTTTGAAATATTTATTAATGTTTCTAGTAATTCAAGATCAGTTTGGAATTAAAGCTTTAATTTAGAAGCAGCTCAGAAGGCACAATATTGAGCTCCTATTAAGAATAAAATTAATTTGTCAGTAATATATACATAGAAGTTATAAAACAAAAAAGGAAATCAACCTAACAAAATTAAAATAATTTCCTAATAAGGTATAACCTCATTTTGCTGGATTAGAGAAGGGAAAATGGAGTACTAAACCTAAATGATTTTAATAAGAAAGGTACATGTAAAATTATAAAAAATAAATTTCTTATGGGTTGATATTCTGTAGTTTAAAAGTGTCAAGGTTATTGAGGGAATATTAGCAAGAAAATGTAAGTTTGGAAGGTTGAATTCTTTAGGGTCATAAAAGACCAAGCAAAATGATTGATGGGTAAAAGGCAAGTGGTAACCTGTGGAATTTAAAGTACCTGAAATGATAATGTGAGTATGATACATCACTTCCTTTTGGCTAAACAGAGCCAGCATAACCTCGAAAGCAGAGGAATGATGTTTGACATCTGTTCAGACTCTCACTTTATGCTAAACATTCAAAGTTCTCATGTGCATGCTTTCATAAAAATCACAAAATCAAAATTAAAAATCAGTTCTGCCTATGTAGAAATGCACCGAATAAATGTTAGAGAACAAAGTGAGGAGGACACAGAGGACAGAAACCTTATTATAGAGAAGTGAAGTATTTTATGAATATCTGTTTCCAATGTTCTTTTTCCCAGTCTCAATGTTTTTAAATATCCCTCACATTCCTGGGAACAGAGCCATCTCTATTCCACATAAATCTCTGACTGTGCCTTTAAATAAATGTTTGCTTTGCAAAGTAGGCAGGAACTCAAAAATTAAGCTTGTTGGTGGAAAAAACTGGAGGAATTTACTAGCACCAGCAAACAGTTCAGAAGATGTCTGTGTGCATTCCCTCCCCTGAGCAGAGGGCCCTTTCTTCTTCCTTTTGTTCTCTCCATCTAGCAAACCTCAAGGAACATAGTCTCCCAGTGCTGGGCACACACTGGTGAAAACTGTTATCCATGGATTTTGTGTCCTGCTGACATGCATGCTGATGTCAAGGCCTAGAATGGTGCTTTGTGCATAGAAATTGCTCGAAAGATTTTTCCTTTTGAATGAAGGAATGAATACATTTATTTTCAACCTCTACATTGCCTTTGATACTTATTTTCTTTTACTTCCCATGCAAGAGAAAAGGAGTTTTGTTGTCTCGAGAGGCAGCCCACACTGTGATTTACCCAAGTTGATATCATCTCTAGCATATCTTTATTTTAATATCTATTACAGTCTGATTTTTAGAGGTGTTTACATGAACAATTATTGTGTTCACCTCTGACAATACATTGGCACCATAGTTACTTTTTAAATTTTACTTTGAAGTTTTGTTTCCCTCCAGTTCATAGCCATGATAGAGGCACGGTAGACATCATGAACCCAACTCCTCCGTTTCATCGATGAAACACACATCTACAGACATGAATGACCAAGTACGTTACAGGGCTGGGCCTAGAAATTAGGTCTCCTCTGAGCCCACTTCTCTTTTGAATTACTACACAAGAATAAAAAGTAACACATCTATTGCCTAAGGAGATTTTCTATAGGTGAAAGAACACAATGCTTATAGTCAAAGATCATAGATTCCCAAAACTTTGTAAAAACATCCCTTAACCTATCTGAATGTCAGTTTCTTCATGAATGAAATGAATGTAATATGCCTCAGCCATCTTACAATGGTTTGAGGTGGAACAGGAAATGTATTTATATCCAAGAAAGCAAAAGATTTCTTAGAGAGGGGGGAAAAAATCCTTACCATCAAAATTTTGCCAACAAACAATGAAAATGTGTAAAATGAGAGAGTCATAGTTAAATTATTGGATGCTAACTTTCGGACTTCAAAATAACCTTTTTTTACTTATTCATATTACCCTTGAAATTTATTGCTTTTATTCATTCTTCCATTTATTATTATAATCCAGTTATTATTATAACTTTACTGAAGAGATCCATCAAGTGTCTATTACACGTCAGGCACTGGGAGATGAGAAGCACAGAGTTTAACAACACAGAATTGATCCCCAGAAGACAGACATTGAACATGCACTTTAGTCAATGTGATGAGTATAAAAAAAAAATACAAGATGCTCAAAGACCACGTAATGTGTGTGTATTTTCAGGGCCAGTATTATAACTAGTTTGGAACTTGAAACAAGCCTCTTACTACAATAATGACTTCTGCCCAGACTTTCCTCAATCATTGTAGGCTATGAATCGATGATCATGTCGAAGATATTTAGGATCATTAAAAAGAGTTTAATGAAACTTGTCACCAATAATGAATGTTAATATAAAATTCATTACAAAATGAGTAAGTCAGATCATTCATTATCTTACTGACTTTGACTTGGAGTGATTCCATGAGTCAGTTTTTAAACACAAAAGCAGGAAGTGGAAAAAAAGATAGGGAACAGGGTTGCTACAGTCACGGGTGACACAATAGTTTGGGGTTGAAGTCCCTTTGCCTGGTGTGGATGTGAGCGGGCTGTCAATGGCACCTCAAATTATACCACATGAAACACACAATCTATGGAAGAACCATGCTTGGTTCACATACAGCTTTAAGAGGAGTCCCAGTCTCCCCACGTCCTTTTCATCCCCATTGTCATATCTGTAACCCTCTTGTATAACACATGGGGTTGACACTGTGGTATAATCAAGATGGGTGCCCGTGGTCTGGCTCTAAGTGTCTCACCACTGCCTGAGACTGCAGCTGCTTTGATTTGTACCACAGACCCAGAAAAGCGCTGGGCACACAGACATTCGTTGACTATCATCACCAGAAACATTTACTTTCTCTTTTTACCAGCTCTGCTGCTTCAAGGAACAATGTTCTGTGTAATGACTACCCCAGCTTCTGCTACTGTGTCTTGAGACAGAAGGATAAGATTATTAGCTATGCATGAAAGTCATATGACTTCCAAATTCTGTAACTTTTAAACATTTAAAAATAGTGAAGATACTCCTAATGTATATGCATATATAAAATGCCTTCTTTTGGCTGCTGTTCATATTTCGTACTATTTTGGAATCCTGATTTTAGCAACATCAGCAGTGTCTCTAGCTGAGAACTTGGGGTTGTATCTACCTCAGTGATATATACGCCTGGGGTTGGGGGGGCTCATTTTCTATTTCTAATGAAAGGCCTGGTACTTTGCCCTCACACTAAAGATACTCCCTTGTTGTTTTGGAAAAAAAAAATGTAGATCAATAAAATCCAAAGTACATGTTTGAAAATGAAGGATAAATCCAAAATCAGTGAACTACACTGTGGTAAAACAATAATTCGTTAAAAATGTGTTGTTGAACCTCTGGTTTATACCTCAAATTTGAAAATAGGAATGACCTTATATCTATGCCATCACACTCACTTATAATTAGCAGGCCAGGAGAGGAGTTTATGGCAAACAGAGTGAAAAGCAAGGGAAGCTAATTGGTATATATATATATGCAAAGGACAGAGAGAGGCTAAATTGGTGCTTGAGCACATGAAATGCGGTAAGAGGCCCCCTCCACAGAAGCACTGTACAGAAAGACGTCTGGTGGGGAGAGATTTATTTACAATCAGCCCTCAACCAATATGGGGCAGATTTTTATTTTTAAATGTTATGTTTTTATTCCTGATCGACTGAAAGAACATAGCCATAGTATTTATAAACACTGTAAAGCTATTTGGGGACTATCTATATCAAGACTGATGTCCTCAAATAGGAAATAGCAAATTAATTGACTATGTTCATCTTTACATTTCAATTCTCAAGTCTAACTATTTATTTTTTTAATAAAAAATTTCTCTTCTCCCTTATGCCCTTTAGCAAATAAAAATGTGTTCTCATTTACCCAAGTGTATTTGAATTTGAAACACACAATCTAACAAAAAAAGATTTTCTAAAATCTCAGGACAAGATACATAGTTGCAAAAAAGAGAGATTTCAAGAATAGAAATATGAATTAGGCATTTAATGAATGTGTGCCATCAGAACCTGGTAACACATCCCCTCGATAAGATGAAGAGGAAGGAATTAAGTCAGCAGAAAGGGAAAATTATTTGAATAAAACATATATACTCACATGTATAAGCTATAGGTATAGCTTATATATATTCTATAAGTATCGCTTATATATATAGCTATATATGCATTTAAATATGTGCTAAAATATGACACACTTTAAAGAAAAGTTTTTAGTTGCCTTTGCAAATTATTTCTTTAAATTTGTTTTTCCTCGAGAAATAAGTCTTATGGTTTATAAAATTTTCTGGAATTGGGGAAAATATTTACGTGTACTTAAGGTCGGCATCAGTTTACGCAGACTCAGGATCCTCGCTGAACAGGCAGGCGAATCGTGTGTGTTCTGTTCCAGCCTTTGCCGGCAGGATGGGCGGCTCCTCTTCACGGTTTCACGCTGTCCTCGCCGCCCGCCGTCTGAGCTGTAAGAGTGCCCGTATTATCAGGCTGCTCATCCAAAAGCCTTTTCTTAGAGATGAAGTTTTTAAGGAAAATAAGTTTATGTAGGCTTACATAAAAGCTGCTTGCATGTAATATTTACATTTTGGGGGTTACATTAGCTCTTCTGTTTTATAAATTAATGAATCCTGTTAGCATCATATAGTTGTATCAACATTTCGTCTTATTTCTCAAAAGGCAATTTACCAAAAAAGTATACTTTAAGTGGCTCAGGCTTAAAGAAAAATTCACAGGTGGCGGTTCTACCTTTTGGCCATAGATTGTGACTATCAATCATATTTATTATTTAAAGTCTAAGCTACTGGAATAAGAAATTTAAGAGATACAGTAACTATCAAGCCCTATATCCTGATGAATTAAAATACCTTATGGAGAACTGTAGTAAAAAATAAAAAGCTTTTTTCTTAATTAAAAAAAAAAACAACTGCTCTTGGAAATGGAGTTGAAGATTGGTGCCAGGGTCTGTATTGGCTTTGGGATTTCCACAGAATTTCTTGAGTCGTACCATTGTCTATAGCTCACAGCACAAAATATTGCTCGAGAAATTGATTCAGACTTTTTATATTCTCATATGAGATGATTGTTTAGAGCCAGCACAAGAAATAGCCTGTCTAAGTTTACTGAAGGTCTTCTTCTTGGCCTTCCCTATTCTTCCTACCTGGTTATTGCACCTCAATACCGAATACCTATTACTCTTCATTTGCTCTCATTCACAACCTTGGCTCTATCCCTTCCTTCTGCCTAAAATATCCTTCCCCATGATATCCACCTGCCTTATTTCTTCATCCTTTTTAGCACTTACTCAGAGATTACCTTTCTTAATGAGGTCTAGTTTTGAATAATGCTACTACTACCTGCCCTTTTCCCCAAGCTAAATACTGTTTTACTCCTAGTGGACAGATGAGCTAATTGAGCCTTAGGTTAAGTGAGTCAGCTAGTTCAATTTAAGTTGGATAGAATTTTTCAACATTATAATATCCTCCAGGACAATATTCTATATGTGGACATGCTGAATCCAAGGGTATATATATTTTCCAATAGCATATATATATTTTGGCTTTGTGTTTTAATAGTGATGGCCACAATGCCAGAGGGGAAAAAAATGAAATACCAGAGGAAAATTTGCATTTGTGTCATTGTGTTTGACATGACAACTGGGCCAAACATTTCCCCTCAAAATCTATCAGCTCTTTCTTCTTGGCAAAAGCTACCTTAACTTGGTAGCTTAGAAGGGAAAGAGCTCTTTAGCTTGGGGGATTGCTCATAATTTCAGCAGTGACTGTTACTTGGACACTGTAGGAGAAGGGGTGAATGGTGGCTGCTGCGGCTGAGGGCATATGGAGTGACAGTGGCTATTTACCCCAACTTTGACACTCAACTGTGGGCAGAGCATTAAACCTTGTATGTTTCATTCCAGCGGGCTCTTCAGATTCCTTTGAAATGTTTGTGCTGCTCCGCTGTTGCCAACCTGCTATTCTCTGGCATGCACCCAGAAGGGGCTTTAAAATATGCATGAATTGAACTAAGAGTTAACTGTTTATTAGGGTCCTTTAAAAACTTTCTCTTAGAAAGTTAAATAAACGCTTGTGCTTGGTAGATCCTAAATATCTACTCAAAAATGGGAACTCGCTTCCATGCCTTTATTACTTAAAATGAATTACTGACCTGAATGATAATGGAACATTTCTTTTTAACAGTTGGTGGCATCTATACTGTGATTCAGACAAAGGCCAGAATAACAGCAGATGAATGGGGAGACAATTATTTTCTGATTGGCCCCTATTTTGAGCAAAATATGAAGACTCAGGTGGAACAGTGTGAACCTGCAAATGAGGCTGTTAGAAGAGCAATGGACACAATGAACAAACATGGCTGCCAGGTAAGAGCTTCTGACTGATGCTTCACTTGACACGTCTTAGCCAACTGTGATGGGAAAGCAGACCATTTACATTAACTCACAAGAGAACACCATTCATCTACTAAGGGGAAAGGAGCAGGTTTGTGAGAAAGATGATGAACTTGATTTTAAATAAGTACATGTTTAAGGCACCTTGTGAAGACCCTAGGAAAATATCTAGTAATCTAATAGGTTTGGAGTTCAGCAAAAGGTATAGGATAAATATATTCCTGGGGAAGTCATTTGTGTCTAAATTGTGGTTGATATAATTAGTGTTGATAGGATTATTCAGTGGAAGTTTATAGACTAAGAGCAAAAGTTTTGAGCCAAACCTTGGGACGTTAATGTTAGAACAGCCACACTAATATAGGTCGGAGAATGCAAAGTAGAAGCACAGATAGTGATGTAGAATGAAGAATGTCCAAATCCTAATCCTCAGAACCTATGAAAAAGTTACTTTATACAGCAAAAAGGACTTTGTGATGTGATTATGGTCAGAATCTTGAGATGAGGCAATTGCTCTGGATAATCTGGGTGGGCCCAGTGTAATCACAAGCGTCCTTATAAGAGGGAGGCAGTAGAATCAGAATCAAAGAGGAGATGTGACAATGAATGCAGAGGTGGGCACAATGAGCCTTGAAGGTAGAGGAAGAGGCCATGAACCAAAGGGTGCAAGTGGTCTCTAGAAGCTGAAGGAGACCAGAAAACAGATTCTTTTCTAGAGACTACAGATGGAATGAAAGTCTGCTAACATGTTAATTTTAACCCATAAAACCAATTTCACACTACAACCTCCAAACCCGTAAGATAATTAATGTATCTTGTTTTAAGCCACTAGGTTTCTGATGATTTTTGTCTTCACAACAGAAATAATGAGGTCAAGACAAGGGAGAAGTAAGTTTCAAGTATGAAGGAGGAAATAATTAGGCCAAATATTAAACCGATATCATTTTGGTTTAGCAACATTAAAGTCATTCATGGCAACTTGTTAAATACAGCTTCAAAGAAAGGAGATGTTAAATCATGGCAGTGGGTTGAGGAATGAATAAGTGGTGAGAAAAGTGTATAAAAATTGTGGCTATGAGTTTTTTCTATGAAGAGGAAAGAAGTAGTTTCAGGGTGACATGATTTTGAGAATTAGTATTTTATTAGATGTAAGTGAGACCTGACAATATTTATATGCCACAAAGTAATATCTAGTAAACAGGGAGCAGGTGAAGGTTCAGAAGAAATGGATGATTGAAGAAAGTAAGGTCACTGAGAATGGGAACGCGAACAAGATTCAAAGCACTAGTGAGAGAAACATTCCTCTCCCCTTGCATTTAAACAGGGAGTACAGGGTGAATGCAAATAGCGGTAAGTCAATGAAGAATTCAGTATGGTCTCACTCAATGTTTTTGATGGTCTTATTGAAGAAGGAATTAAAGGTCATCTTAGAAGCTGGAAGGCAAGTGTTAAAATAGGAGAATTTAAAGGAAGTGTTAGGTAGCCAAGATGGCTAAGAAAGGACTGGGAACCAAAAAAGTCCAATTAAGGGGTTTTATTTGAGGTGAGACTCTGCAATCAGGCAGGCTGAGTCCGAACAGACTGCAACAGCAAGGGAAAGGGCAGAAGGTTTTTAAGGGTGTATAGTAGACCGCGGTGGCGGGGCGGGGGTGTCACCCTGCTGATCTGCTCCAGGTGTCCTGGGTATAGGTGTTTGCAAGACAACGTCCTCTGATCAGGAACAGCTGATTTGGTGCCAGAAAGTCCAGATTGATGGGCCTTGTTTCTGGGAAAAGCTCTAGGTTAGGAATGAGTGGGAGGCGTAAGGATTCAACCGGTTTCCACCAGGATGCCGGCAGTTGCTATGCCTCTGTTGCTTCAGACAGTGGGGAGTCCTGTGGTCAGGTATTTAGCCTGTGACGCATACCTTCTTTGTTCCAGCCTAGGCAGTGGCTTAGGTCCTCCATGTCCCAGTACATTCTAACAGGAAGAATTTCTAAAAAATTGTTCAAGGGATAGATAAAAGGATTCCTGAACACCTTTGATGTATCTTTGTGACTTTTTAGTGTCAGAAATATATACACAACTGTGACTTTCTGCAGCAGCAATCTGTAGCCTGAATGAAAGTGCAGGACGTTGAACAGATGCAGAGTCCACATTGTTTAATTTCAGCATTTGTTTAATTTCACCATTCAGCAATGGGGCAAATTAGCAAAAGTCTTGAAGGTAATTGTGCAATTGACTGAATTAATGGTTAAATTGATAGACAGTCAGTCTGAAGAATGTAACAGAATTACATGTTGAGCTACTATGCTAGATTAACAAGATAATGCATTTTAGGAAATATATTTAAGATTTCTGGCAGCAACCATATTGGGAAGCACTTCAAGTAATGTTTTTAATGAGGAATAAGAGAAATCATATACATTTGTCAACAGAAAAAACTTTTTCTAGCAGGAAATATTTGCAGTCCTGTTGCATAAAGGCAAATAAGTGACACAAGTTGTTAAAGATACAGAACAGTTCATCTTATGACTCTATCATAAAAACATAGGCTGTGATATTAAATCATAAAACCATGAGCCCAAGGTCACAGGAGTAATGACATGGTCTAGATACTTTGTTTTTAAATGGTCAAGTTTAATAAAAAAACAAAATACTTGGAGATTTTAGATGAGTGGATGCAAGCCCATTCCATCTTCAAGCTCCAGTATCAGATGCTTTGTGGTGTCGCTGTGGTTTTCTGTATAACATATGTAATTTGCTATTGAGTTCTAAATGAAGCTTATATCTTCCAAGCACAAATACATTTCCTCCTTTCCATTACCTAGCATGACCATGTTCTTTATACGGCAGGTACATTTTGGAAGATGGCTGATAGAAGGGAGTCCTTACGTGGTGCTCTTTGACATAGGGTATTCGGCTTGGAATTTGGACAGGTGGAAGGGTGACCTCTGGGAGGCATGCAGTGTTGGCATCCCTCATCACGACCGAGAAGCCAACGATATGTTGATATTTGGATCTTTAACTGCCTGGTTCTTAAAAGAGGTACAGTTTATGGTATAATCATACAACAGAGGAGCAGCACAATTGAGTTCTGGGCCCAATTTTAGATTAAGTGAATTTTGAGATGATGCCATTACTGATTGTCCTAGTGCATTTCTGAGAAAGTGTTCAGCATTCCTCAAACTAAATACCAACATTTGGAACAGGATAATAATAATGCTTATTAATATTTACATCATGTCAGGTAAATAGAATGAATGATGTGTATAACAATCTACTTATATGTCTGCTACATAGATGATACTCAATATATATGCAAGAAAAAATAGTATACATCATGCACTATGTATATGAATTCTAGGAACAAGGGAATCGAAAATAGCTTGAAATGTTTGGTTTGTTTATACATGAGTACTTGTGTAACTGCAGTGACTTTTAGTTATTTTCATCACTAGCTAAGGGCTGGAGTGATCCCAGCTGATGCTAAGGAGTCTGTAGCAGTGAAATATCCCATAGATGAAAATGTTTTTAAAAAAAGATATTAAATGAACCAAACCTGCTTTCTCCTAAGTCCTCAAAGCATGGTAGTAAGATTCCTTTGTCTTCTTTGTAGTACCTCAGGAGGACGATGCCTAACCTAAAGTCAAATTGTGAAGAGAGAGCATCCCTAGCAAAGTGGGGGTGTGATCTAAGGACAAGTCACAAAACTGTATGGTGGGAGTATGTTCCCTTTGGCCACTCTTTCTTACTGGTGAAGTCATATTCCAATAGCCATAAGGGGGTGCCCTGAAACAAAGGAGAGGATGCAGAAGCGGTCCTATTGCTTTGTGTGGATGACAGAATAGGAGAAGAGTGAGGTGCTGGTGGATGTGGTCTAATGGCTGATATGAACTCTTGTGCTAGCATCTGTTAGTGTTGCCAACTCTTTCTCTGCAAACTGCCTCCCTGAGCTACTGCCCCAGGGCTGAAGCCAGCCTTCAAGTATGCATTTGTGAGTGTGTGTGTGTCTGCTGTCACCCCTTCTATTAAAAGGAATAAAGGGGACAGAAGCAAGAAAGTTAAGAGCCCCAACTTCCTCTCAAGTAAAGCAGTTCCAGAAATACCTATTGTCATTGGTTCAAAGGGTAAACAAAGACACTGAAAAAACCTCATGGGTTTTCTGGGACTGTTTCTGCTGTTACCTGTTTCTGCTATACCGTTAACCTATGCAACTTCATAGCTGTGAAGAATTTTGTGAAGAGCAGATACTTTAAGACACAGAGGATTTAGCCTTAGTCAGTTGTTCTCAGAGAGCATATCCTAGACCATCAGTAGCAGCATCATTTGTAAACTTGTAAGAAATGCAAATTCTTGCCTCCCAGCCCAGAACCATTGAATTAAATTACCTGAGATTGAGACCCAGATGTTAATGCTTAACAAGCCTTCCCGTGACCTGATATATGCTAAGTGTAAGGACCTCTGGGCTTCGTGGACATGCTACTGAATCCTATATAACACACTTGCTAAGTCTGTATGCTTCATATTTAGAACCCTTTAAATTGTGCTAAAATTTACAGGCATGATAACTTTCCTTATGCCCTGGGCCATGAACAAGAACAAGCTTCAGCAACAACTTTTCTAAATGCTTCTTTTCTGATGTAGGTGACAGACCATGCAGAAGGTAAACATGTCATTGCCCAGTTCCACGAATGGCAGGCTGGAACTGGACTGATCCTTTCTCGGGCGCGAAAACTTCCTATTGCTACAATTTTTACCACTCATGCCACACTGCTTGGGAGGTATCTCTGCGCAGCAAACACTGATTTTTACAACCATCTTGATAAGGTAAATGGTCCTACGATCTTCTCCTTTACCACCTTTTTTCCTGATCACTGAAGCTGAAGGATGAGAAGTATTGATCTTGACATTTCATCTGTCAGCCAGATGGCAGAAGTGCTCTTTTAACTAATCAATATCCATGACAAAGACTCCCCTGGGGGACAGAGGGCTCATAGAGCTTAACTATGTTCAGAGTGCGGTAGGGTGTAGCAGTGAGAGGCGGTGCGTGTCTACTGGGGTGCAATAGTTCCAGGATCCAACGTGGCACGGGGGCAGGAAGCTCTGTGACACAAGGTGCGGCTCCTGTCTACCCTGGAGCATGGGAAATGCTGTGAGGATCCCGAAGCCACGCACAGCTCTGAGGGGCAGGCAGAGAGAGCTGTGATTCTAGACAGACAGCTTGCACTGTGAGCCTTATTTCCTCTATCCCGGTGAACACATGGTCAGGTTTCTCCTGTAACTCTGCAATGCCTAGGTGGAGTTTTTGTTGGGGTCAAATAAAACAGAAGTTATTCAAAAGAAGGATGTGTGTCCTTATGACCAAAACAGTTGTGTCTACTTGCTGAGAAGCCTGCCCAATTCTATGACTAAAAGTCATTCAGCTTTGACTTCTTTCTTTTATTTTCCATCAGTTAAATCAGATAAAAATATATCTTTTATATCATATTACAGAAAACAAAGCATGTGCATACCATAAAGTCAGGAGTTTTGCAGATTTGGTATCTATCTTGCCAATCAAGTCAATTTACCATTTTTGGTTTCTGTTTCATTATCAGGAAAATTAGGAAGTTGGAATCTTGATTTTTAAAGACTTCCCAGTTTAGAAAAGTGCTAGGATTCTATGAAACAGAATGTACAGTGTGTATGTGTATAATGCATAAATTATACTTAGATAACAGTTATAAAAAATTATACTACTACCTCAAAGACACTTCGACACTGAATGCAGGAACGATTTTCCTGACAAACTAACATTTGCAAGGCAGTGAATTGTCTGGATGAGAGCTGACCTATGAAAAGGTCAGCCTACCCTAAAGGTCAATTGTAAACATAAGATGTACATTTAAAATAAAGTCACCACAGGATTCAGAAAGGCAGGACAACAGAAAAATTTCCTAATGGCATATGATATCTCAGTAGACTAATAAGGGCGAACCAGTGAACTGTGATAAGCTCAACAACCATGTTTCTTGGAGAAGAGCAGACTTTGATTTTTGTGAAGGAGAAAATGTTAAAGATGATATCAAATATTTTACTACAGAATACTTAGAGCGTTATATGATAATAACAACAATAAATAATATACATCAGCTATTATTTGTTTTTAAGGAACAAATGCATCATAGTATGTAGTTATATCTTACAACTTTATCCACTTGACAAAGGTCAGTATTTATATCACACAGTCATCGAATAGGATTATGTATCTCTCCAGGGTAAAGCCCCTCACTGGTTGAAATGTATGAGCATAGTTAGATCCCAGCCCATTGTTCTAATAAAATGTCCTGCCCAGCAGAAGCACTAGTAAATAACAAGTAGTCACAAACTAGATTTTGAGTTAAACTTATAATCATTTCTTACAGACAAAACCCTATAATTATTTTCCATAATAGGCCCTCTCTCCTTGCTCACACTGGGTTTAGAATTTGGGTAATACATAAAAACATCCAATTATACACATGAAAATTTTTTAAAAGGTCAACCTAAGAAATGAGTCATAATTTATTTAGTCTTTGATACAAGACCCAAGATCTATTTCAGTAAGTTCTGGCTCAGGTAAGTAAACATGGAGTAGGGGTGGGAAACGGGAATAAAAATAAAAGTATTTCACTTCTATAAAAGCGGAAACATGGAACTATTTTACTCAAATAATAATTGCTAACTAAAAACTTTTTGTTGTTAAGCAATTCACAAAGGCCTTGTAGTTGGTTTAGTTAAATTTATTAGCTAAAATAGCATTTCAACCATTTTTAGCCAGCATGTAGATTTCTGAGATTCTCCAAGATATTTCCAAATTTTTTCTTATGAGATAACTAATGCTTTTTAAAAAAAGTTTTGTTAGGTTTTTGGCCTCTCTTTTCTTCATAGCAACAGAATTTCCCTGGTGCCATCTGGGATTAAAAGATGGTAAAGCCAGCCATAGACAATCATTTGATGGATTTTAACTCTTTCCTCTGACAAGGTTTTGAGCTAGTCAGTTTCATTTACTGGGTTACTGTCTGCTGTCACTGGACTGTTTTTTAGTGGCTGATATTCACTTTACATCATTCTTTGTTCTTTTATACGCATTATCCAGAATTCAACCAAAAAAGCTGTGAGATACAGGAAAACACTGGGAAGTTCAGTGTTTTAAGAAGCAGGCCCAGGCGTGTTTTAGATGTTGGAATTATCAGACAGAGATTTTAACATTCTATCATGAATATGGGGAAAAGTAGGCAACATGTGTAAAGAGACAGCTGCTGTAAAGCCACAGGTGTGGCTAGGCATGCCACAGGCCTAAACGATGAGGGACCCCGTGGGACCGCGAAAGGCAGAAAAGCACGCACAAGTGCCTGTCCTCGCCAAGACCTGCATCTACACATACTGGCTTACTCACTTAGAAAACCTTTCTTTCCATCTCTGCATGTCTAAATATTAAATGCCATCCCATATATGAAATCATATTCTTCTCAACAATAACAATAAATAATAACCATAGCTAAAGTTACTGAGCACTCTCTATGTGCCAGGCACTTTTGTAAATATTTGACAAGTATTACCTTATTTGCTCGTTGCAAAAAGCTCAATGAGATAAAAAAACATTTCATACTTCTGTCTAGAGTTATTTTTCTTAAACACAGGCTGTGTCTTTACCATATCACTATACAAACCCATTCAGTGTTTCCATTGCATACAGGACGAAGGCTAAATTCCTAGCCTTGTCTTTAGGGAATTCTGGGGTCTGACCCTCTTATAGCCTACCAGGATGTTGCCTTATGATGTCTTTACATTCTACACCCAAAGCCACCATCACATCAGACATTTTGGTATTGTCTGCACATGCCATACGACTTTATATATAATATTGGGTTGGCCAAAAAGTTTGTCTAGACGCATCTTTCGTTTTCAGCAGTACCTATTGATTTGGATATTTTTAATTCATCGGCTATCTCCCATGTGGTATAACATATATTGTTCTCAATTAATGTCTTTATTTGATCATTATCAACTTCAACTGGTCTGCCCGACCGTGGAGCATCATCCAATGAGAAATCTCCTGCAGGAAACTTTGCAAACCACTTTTGACATGTTCGCTCAGTCACAGAACTTTCTCCATACACTGCACAAATCATTTTTTGTGTTTCAGTTGCATTTTTACCTTAAAATAATAAAGCATAATATGCTGAAAATGTGTACTTTCTTGCATCTTCAATATTAAAATGGCTACACAAAAATTCACAAATTTTGATAATTTTTAAAAATGCACTCTGATATGACAGCTGACACAGTACAAGCTAACAGAATTGTTTTGAATGAAGTGAAAGACAAGTAAGAGCTACTAGAGACATCTTACAGAAAAAAACAAATGAACTTTTTGGCCAACCCAATATTTGTTCTTTAGGGCAACTAATTTTTCAGCCTAAAATAATCTTTCCCCAAATTAAACTTTTATATCCAAGTCCAAATGCCATTTTAGCCATCTAATTAACTTAGAGACATAAAGATGAACAACTCATGATTCTCTTATATAGTATGAGATAAATTTCGCTGTCCTGTTTTGATTTTATACCTTATTCGGGCACTTCTTCATTTCTGCCTAATATTTACCCATTTTCTCACTAATTTATAAGCTATTTGAAGGTAACAGAAACACCTAAATTACTCAATAAATAATGGTTAAATGAGGATTTGGTTGAATAAATGAGACCAGCCATATATAGCTTTAAAGAAAAACTGCTGCCGATCTAGGGATACCATATATAGAGCCCTCACTCAAACATTTTCAGAGAGTTGTTTCCAAACATTACAATCATCAAGAGAATATTCTAAGAATTTCCTTGTTCTAATCTTTAGAGTCATTTAATAAATCTTTTTTTTTTTTTTTTTTAGTATTTTCCTTTATATGGTGTAGTATTTATTGGGACTGACTTGTTGATTCAGTTAGAGTCTAAATGGTATAAAAGCAGGTGACAGCACAAGTTTGGAGTCAGGCTGATTTGGGTCAATTTTGGGCTCTGCTGAGATGCATAATAAGAATGCGACCTTGAGAAAGTTCTTTAACCTTTAAAAGTTTCAATTCCTCCTCCATAAAATGAAGACAACATATGCGTTGGTGTTTTGTGAGGATTAAATATGATATCCTGCTTAGAAGAGTGCCTGATACATAGTGTTGAAAAGCTTCTAGTATGAAAAGCATATTGCTGATGCAATGCCAGAAACTATATAGCTCTTTCTCTCAGACACCGCGGCTTTCATATACAGCTATATGAGTCCTTACGTTCAGCAACTAAGCCAAAGGCAAAAGCCCACGCACCTGTTGCCAACTATTTAATTGTGGGGGTTTGGCTTATTGTGTTTTTTTTTTTAGTTAAAATGCTCAGAATAATGAATGATTGCACAATCTAACACACTGTCTAATTAAAGTAACTGTACACTCTTGGAATTATATATTGGTAGGACTTCTCTAACTATGGGAAAGTATTTGTTTTTTTTTCTTTGCCAGGTTTCTTTTCAGTGAATTAAGGATAATAATAATTATCTTTAGTTTTGCTATCAAGTTTAATTCAGCTTTATTTCATTGTTTATGGGCAAAAATATGATAAGGGCCTCAGGAGAAGAAATTAGCTCAATATTTATAAAATGTGGGATAAATAAAATATAACTAAAACGCCAAAAAAATCAAGATTTCTATATGATTATAACAGAGTGGAAATCCATTTATTCAGAGGGTTACTAGCAGTTAGGAAGCAAAAATGAAGTAAACGGCACCTTTTAAAACCTAAGTAGCTATATACTTAGTAAGGGGTTTAATAAAAATTATCATTACTTTTAGGGGTCATTAAATTTTACATAGTCTCATGGGCACACAATAGGAGAAATACGTGATTTTGTTTTGCTGGTGTGGAAGAATCAGTGTAAGCAATTGCATATGTGCTTGTTTTTGTGTTTTGTTTTGTTTTGTTCTGAACAGTTTAACATAGACAAAGAGGCCGGGGAAAGGCAGATCTACCATCGGTACTGCATGGAGCGGGCCGCGGTCCATTGTGCACACGTGTTCACCACAGTTTCTGAAATAACAGCAATAGAGGCAGAACATATGCTGAAGAGAAAGCCTGGTAATTATTACCCCTGAGATTGTCACTGGTCTTTCAGTTAAATGGCATGAGCTTATGAGAATTTTGTTGAAGACAAAAAAAAAAAAAGCATAAAACAGTAGAGGAAAAAAGGTTTTGCCTCTGAAAATGCAGATTAAGAGCAACTCCTCCATTGGTTGTTACAAGGATTAAACGAGTTACATGATGAAGCGTTTAGAGCAGTGCCTGGTGCACAGTAAGTGATAAAACTATAATAATCGTTATTATTGCTTTTCATTCTATTATACCATTTTGTACCAATGCTATTTCAGTCATGTACTCCTGATTCCCTACTTCAACAATTTATTGTGAAAATTTATGAATGTTGCAGTCTATGCTAGTCCTAAACCAGAAATGTTAATAGAAATCTAACTTTATAAATTTAAATATACTGTTTTTCTACAACTGTACCCTCTCTCAGAAGAGCATTTCAAAAAGATTTTATTTTTGCTTTCCCAGATGTGATTACTCCAAATGGCTTGAATGTTAAGAAATTTTCAGCAGTACATGAGTTTCAAAATCTACATGCAATGTACAAGGCTCGGATACAAGATTTTGTTCGAGGTCATTTTTATGGGTATGTTGATTGTGGTGGGAGAGGAAGAGGTGGGTGGAAGAGCGTATAAGGGGGATGAATGGTAATGGAAAAATACAATTAATAAAAAAGAATACTCTTAAAAAAGAAAATTAGTGTGTGATTTTAGTGATCTCTAGTAAAAAGAAAACAGTATTGTTATAATACATGTTTATCTTTCCCAGTTCCCTTTGTATTTTAACTGAATTCATGTGTACATTTTGTTTCTTATGCTTTATTTTATTTTAAACTGTTTCATTTTGTTTTAGTCATCTGGACTTTGATCTTGAAAAGACATTGTTCCTTTTCATTGCTGGGAGGTATGAGTTTTCAAACAAAGGAGCTGACATCTTCCTAGAGTCCTTATCCCGGCTAAATTTCCTGCTGAGGGTAAGAAAACTCAAAGGTGCTATGTAATGCTTTTGTAGGAAGACTTCCTTCTGTGGGCAGTAAAGAACTTTCTGGTTCCTTAAATAGTTTTCATGAGAATACACTATTATGAAGATTTAAAATAACAACCTTATAAGAAATGGCTTTGATCTTTCAATGTACATATTGGGTTTGCTACATTGTTCACTTGTGTATTTGCCTATGTCCTTAGTTATATTTTTAGGAGAGCCACAAACTCATCCCATTATATGTGCTATGTTTTAAGGTTACATTATAATATCCCCCCAAATGAGTTTGTAACCACTTGAAGAATAAATATAGAGAAATCTAGAAAATGGAGAACAAAATTTTACCTTTTCAGAAACTGGTAAGGGCCAATAATGGAAGCTGTGGCTTGGATATATGGCAACAACAGGCTTCCTGATGCTAAACTTTGGTATTAACTCAGCTGTGTCATCCCAGGCAGCTCCAGCCATCGCTATCTGCCCCCAGCAGAAGCAGACCTTCAGAGAAACATGCACCTAGGAGGCAGCAGACACACGCAACTCTGTTCCCCACCCAACTGAACGGCCACACCTCCTCCCCTAGGCCTGGTGTCTTGAACTATGAAACTAGGAGATCACCCCCAACATAGACACAGGAAGAAAGGGAAAGGAAGTCTCCACTCCCAACAATGTAGAATAATTTTTTTGCTCAGAAGACAAGACTTAAGATAGGTTCCCAACTCATCAAGAAAAAAAAACATTTCTGTTAAAAAAAACTGTGCCAATAAAAGCAATTATAAAAATGGTACCATGTCAAGCTATTGATTAATGTCATTGGCTTGTATTACAATCCTATCGCATAAAATATAAAATAAATAACAGTAAAATGGTCACCGGAGACCAGTGTAAAATTTCTATCTTATTGCAATACTGAAACAACCTGAACTTTCCCGAGCTCTGTAATACTCTCCAACTGAATTTTTATTTCCTGGACATAGATTTATCATTGCCTTAGAGCAGACATTGTAGTAAGTGTGCCAAAAGATTTAGAAACAGCATTAGTAAGGAAGAAGTATATTAATAAAAACCCAAGTCTCCAAAATAAAAGAGAAGACCAGAAAGATTATTCCTGAATAAGCTGGAATAACCTTATTTTAACATAGTTTCCTTTACAAGACATATTTATTTTTCCTTGAATCTTATCTAATTGAAGTATTAAGGTGTTTACCCTTTTCCCCTGGGTACCCTCATGCAGCATATTCATCTTGAGATTCATCAATGGCGCTTATATATGTAGTTCATTCTTTTTATATTGCTGAGAAGTATGGTGTTTCATAGCTATACCACTTTGTTTATTTATTCATCTGTTTGTGGATATTCGGGTTGCTTCCAGTTTTGAGTTACTGAAAATTAAACTGTCATTTATATTTTAATGCACACACAAAAAAGGTTTTTTCTGGGAGGTATGCAGGCTTTCCTGGGAGATTTTGCCACACAGCCCATCAGTCCTGCACAGATCCTGGATCTCTTAAAAAAAAAAAGACTATGTTATTTAAATCTTATTTCATCACATTTCTTAGTATGTACCTATTCAACAAACTTTATAGATGATCTCACAATTATATCAAATATGTATTGTGTTTAGGGACATTATTAATCAATTTATCCATACCTTTATTAAATATTCACTTTGTTTTTAGATGTGAAGAAAAAGCCAATTAATATTATTCAACACATCAAAGATAGATATGTCCCTGGGGAAATGAAAAGAAGGCATTCTCTTTCCATATGGTACACTTATTCTTCATTAGCACGTTGCTCCTCCTGGCGTGAGTTTCCTATTCTATGGCTTCCACAAACTTTTGAATCAATTGTCAGGCCCTAGAGTGCAGAGGCCACAGATTAGGTGGTAAAATGCTCCACACTCAGGAGACAGTCATTTCCAGGATACATGAGCATTCATTCATCTGTTCATGGTTTAAGTGAGTTTATGCTTTCGTTCCCGTGGCTGTTGGGTATGTCATTTCCTTCTGAGAGATGCTAGGGCAATGGTATTTGTTGGAAGAGGAAAAAACCTCATAGATGTTAGAGTCAAAAAACACCAGTTAGAATCCCAGCTTTGCCAGTAATGTGTTATAAGGGGTGAGACTCCTATATGGAACCTCCATTTCTCTCTTTTGACACTAGTAAAACAAGGACAGTGGTATCTATTACGAATGGTTCTTGTGAGGATTGGGTGAAATTATGCATTTAAAGCACCCAGTACAGTGCCTGCCACAACAAAATGGCTGAGTATATGCTTGCTTCTTTACATCAGGGCTAAAAAAAATAAAATGTGATATTGTGAGAATCAAGACATGACAGAAAAATGAAAAGAATCTTTTGTGCAAATCAATGTGTATAAGCTAAGGAAAAAAATAGAATAAACCAAAATTAAATCCTCATTAATTTTCCAATCTGAAATTTTAAAGAATGAATTTTGACTCATTATTAGCTCATATAAGTGTGAGCTAATATCACACAAAAGACTGTGATATCAATGTTAATTGCTATATATTTTAGATGATTGATACCATAAAACAATTTAAGTGTGAATTTTCAAATTGTCAATCAATAAACATCTACTGAAAGCCCAATTTAAATTGAAATTCTTGAAAAAGCCTCAGGAAGGGGGGTGCAAAATTCTCTGTAAATCATAAAAAATATTCTTTTTATCGAAAGATATTTTTAAACACTTTTTTTTGAAAGTTTAAGGTCCATCTGTCACACGTTTTATTTTATCTTTGGTCATTGACTCTGTTGTGTTTTCTGATCCCTCGTTAGATGCATAAAAGTGACGTCACAGTGGTGGTGTTTTTCATTATGCCTGCCAAGACAAATAATTTCAATGTGGAAACCCTGAAAGGCCAGGCAGTGCGAAAACAGCTGTGGTAAATCTCACCTCTCGTAATTGTTCTCAAGCAATATCTGTAAAGGGTTATTTTTTATGTCCATGATTTCTGACATGTACCCCTGAACTATGTTTTCCTTAAGATTATTATAGCATAAATACTATTTGGTTCTCTTCTTATTGGGCTACTATGTTAGATTATGTAATGTCTATACAACCATGTTACTATAAAAACTTTGGAATGAGCTACCATGAAAGGATAATGCCTCTTAGAAATCTTTAAGGATAAGTCGAATTAAAAAAATTATTATGGAAATATAAAAACATATAGCAAAGTAGAGAGATTAGTAATAATGACCTCTTTCATGCCCATAGCCCATATTTAACAATCACCAACATATTCCCCACCTTGTTCCATCTACACTTAGATCCACTTCCCGTCCTAGCCCTCTGCCTTTCCCTGAATATCATCAAGCAAAAAAAATATTAAGCTCTTTGGGCTGGTCAGGGTGTTCTCCTGCCTCAGCTCTGGAGGTTTTAACTCAAGCTAACTTGGTAAATAAGAAAATAATAGAAGAGACTATACAAGAGACCTGTAGTTTCAACAATGCACTAACAAAACACCATTTTCATGACAAATAAAGATTTAAAATTGTGACACCGTTTAAATTATAAATCCTTTTTTCTCCATGCAGGGACACGGCACATTCTGTGAAGGAAAAGTTTGGAAAGAAACTCTATGATGCTTTATTAAGGTAGGTGCTTTGAACACTCAACTCAAACATTTGGGGCGTCACTGTTCAAATGTAACAATTTCAATGCTATCATGTATTTTTTGTTCCAAATATAAAAAAAATTAATAACCTTTGAAGGTATGTCCCATCATGTCAGTAGGTTCTCTCTTTTCTTTCATCTAATGTGTATACATGCAGATAGATTCTATCATGTGTAGATTTTGCCGTGTGTAATGCGCACCCGCATTTTTGCGCACGTTATACATGGGATGACTGTGCCCATTATTATACCCATGGTATGTAATCATTATACCCATGTATAATGCACATCCTTATTTTTCCCTCAAAAATTTGGGCAAAAAAGTGCACATTTTACACGGCAAATTATGATACCTCAATGAGAATCTCATTAAATGTTAACATGCGAATCTGAAACTGAGAGTTCATGAGATTTTTAAATCAAAATATATACTGACTTAATATGTTAAAAATATTGATTTACATATTAAATTAGCAAGTATTTATTAATTAACATATTAATTAATATTAATTAACACGAATTTACTTAATAAGTAACAAATTAGATATTATTTATAGATACAATAAAATCTAAATTATAAAATCAAATTGAAATGCATTATAATTTTAAAATATATGAATTTTGCTTTAATATGAAGAGAAAGCTATGTTGTCTCCTGACCCATGGAGGAAGGTAAGCATCATTTCTTTTTATCAGAAAAAATAATTTATAGATGGACAGGTTATGGCCACTTTAGTACATAATACTCAAAAGTAGGCAAAACATAATGAGAATGTCCCTCTGATGATCAATATGAATGCTTTGAAAATTAATTTTGATTTTTTTATGCTATCAAAAGTGATTTTTTTTTAATGAAACTTCTTTACAGTTTAGGAATTTGTGAGCTTCATCACGAAACTATGCTTACTTTTATTTTTAAATTGCTTAGAACAGTGCTTGAGACATAGAAGCACTGAATTAGTGTCAGTTGTTTTTATTTTTGTTATTAACGTCGTTTTCCATACAGGGGAGAAATTCCTGATATGAACAATATTTTGGATCGAGATGATCTAACAATTATGAAAAGAGCCATCTTTTCAACTCAGGTAGTAAAAAAGTGCCTACCAGTTCCCACAATTGTTATAATCTACTTCGATCAATATTTTCATTAATTGGAATGGACTAATTTGGGAAATTTTTAAACTTAAGAATTAGAAAGTCATTCTTAAGTATTCACCTAAATGACAACTTTGTGTTCAGGGTTTTCAGGGTTCTTTTCTTTGTACCCAATTTAAAAAACTCATTTGATGCTCACTTGGCAGGGGACCTATCATGACCCCAAAGGTGGCTTTCCTAAGGCGAGGCCCACCCCTCGCACTCCGGGTGTGCTGACCCCTGTGATTTCCCCGAATGTGGGAAACTTGACAGCGTAGTTTGTGGTAATGGGAGATTGTTTGCCTTCTTGCCTGGTGCACACACACACCCCCACACAAAATTCATTTGGAGCCATTAGATCCCATTGAAAAGCTGTGCATATTGCAATGACAACAAAAACTTAAATTTTTCAAAAAACATAAAATTTTGAGTTACAATAGGGAAAAGGCGAATGTATCTCAGTCAAGCGTAATTATTGCAAAGTGTTGTGTTGTGTTGTGTTGTATTGTAAGTGTTGTGTTAGGCATACACCAAAATCGTGTCCCGTTAGTGAAGGATCTGGCACCAGAGGATAGCTCTGCTAGAAGGATCCAAAAGAGTAGCTCATCTTGAGTCAAGATTTCAGGGCATCTTTAATTCCAAGTAAGTCCCAGAAGCAAGCAAGGTATCTTGACCTTGCATATGGGTTTACCATATCTGAAGGAATTATCCTTCAACCCATTATCCTCTAAAACATAAAAAAATTAGTCATTATGATTAGTGTCATCTCAAATGGCTGAAGGCAAAAAGGTCGGATGACCTGTCACCAATGACCTATTGTTGAAATTAGTCACACATTAATTCTTTCCACAACTGACATTTCCTTCCATCACTTCAGCGACAGTCTTTGCCTCCAGTGACCACTCACAATATGATTGATGACTCCACGGATCCCATCCTCAGCACCATTAGACGGATTGGACTTTTCAACAACCGCACAGACAGAGTCAAGGTAGAATTGTTTATGTAGGTCCCTTCAAAATGATATAGAATATGTTCACTGAGAATTTATTAAAAGTCACATTTATTTGTTTTAACATTTATCAAAAATATTTTAAATGTTTCTAAAGAAAATTAATTTTGTTACCTGTCTTGGGTCATTTAAGCATAATGACTATTTTAGTGTCATTCTTGAGAACTGAAGAATATTTATGGCTTTGAATCATAATTTTAACATTTATTTTCACTGTGTAATCAGTCAGTAAGCATAAGATTACTTAACTTTTAATGATTTAATTTTTTTTCTAAGAAGTAATTTCATTAACAAATCTCAGACTATATAAATCATCTTTTGTTTCTTTCCGATAAAGTTCAACTTAAAGGGAAACTATGAAAAACTTCCAGTTTTAGAGAATGTAGCTAGTGATGTTTTTATGTAATTGTCTGTAGACTATTTCAAATTGACTATGAGTTTCTACACCGGTTAGGCACTGTGCTAGTGGTATAAATAAGACTGGTTTCTGCCACTCTGTGATGTTTACTGAGGGCCCATTATTCCAGGCACTTGCTAGGTGTGGCTGGCAATGCTGAACATGTCAACAAATAATTGCTTAATCCTACTCAATTTCATTCACCAGTACTCAAAATCAAGGTGTCACAAGCTTTTACCAATCTTTTCAAAGGTCCTCTTTTCCCCTCTTTCTTTCATCATTATCAGATGATCTCATCAAAAATTCAAGGAATTAAACCCCTTCAGTGTCCCTCCATACGGGCCTCAAATCTAGATTTTTGACCTCTTTTTGCTTCTTTTCCTTGAGATCCTAAGGGTGTTTACAGAATCTCATTCCCTCCCACACTCTTGGGAAACTTACCCTGTTTACTCTCTCTTGCAGTGTAGGCAATGAAAGGACAACGCTTTTCCTTTCTGTCTACATATATTCTTTGAATTTCTCAACATTAAAAAACAAACAACTTTGCCTTAGCCCTGTCTCCTTTTGATGTTCTTGAATGGTTCTGTCTTTCCTGCTCTGCAAAATTTCTTGAAAATATAGTCTATTCTTAAATTCATTTTTTATCTTGTTTTCAGTCCTTGAAATAGGCATGGGTGAATGTAGTGGAAGGAGACAAAATAAGGACTTACTGCAGCCGTACAGGTGAGAGATGATGAAGGCCCCTTACAGAAGCCATGCCAGATGTACTGGAGAGGACAAAACAATGGAAGAGACGGTTGCATGTAGGAAAAAAGTCGCACTTAGTGACCAGTGAACATCAGAAGTGAGAAAAAGAAAGAAGGCAAGAATAATACTCTCTTGACTTCAGTATCTAACCAATATTTTCTAAAAACTAAGGAAACGCTTTAACAGAAGTTGGTTTGAGGTCCATGTCATGAATTGAGGTCAGTTTTTTAAAAGATTTTGTATATTTTTAGAGATGGGGAAGGGAGGGAGAAAGAGATGGAGAGAAGCATTGATCAGCTGCCGTTTACACCCTCCCCCCAGCCAGGGACCTGGCCTGAAACCCTGACCCTGAGCTGGAATCAAACCGGCGGCCTTTCTGCTTGCAAGCTGGCGCTCAGCCCACTGAGCCACACCGGCCAGGATGAGTTCAGTTTCTCATAGAATGAGTTTGAGTTATGTGTGAGATACTGAAGTCGAGATGTTTCATAGTTACTTAGAAAACATAGTCATGAAGGGAGCTCTCAGTGCATGGACAGTAATGGAGACCAGGGAATGACTTCCCTGCCACTCTGGAAGACCAGGTTGAATGAGTGGAGAGATGTATTGACCAAGAAACCTCAGATCTCAGAGGGGGACTAACAGCTGATAAGTCAGGAAAAGAAAGAAAGAGCAGAGAATTAGAAGAGGAAAATGTTGTAGAATTCAAGCAGAAGAAATTGTCTTGAAAGTAAGGGGAGCTTATAATACAGCATTAAATGATACAAGCTATTTATAAAAAGTACACATACATATATGTGTGTATATTGACTTGTGCCATAGAATTATGGGTGGTTTGTATTTCCTCCTTCATGTTTCTGCATTTCAAAAATTTTCAGCACCTAACACACCGCCTGCAACAAATAGGCTACAAAATTTTCCCTGGAAATGCACCAATGTCTCTGCCAGGGATGTACCTTCCTTTACGTGTTCAGCAGAATTGGTTCCACAGAGACTCATCACACAGTGTATTATCAGTAACTTGGCCTCCCTCTCATATAATTTACCCTAGACTGATCCTTCTCCTTTTATTTATTTATATATTTTTGTCTCTTGGAAAGGAAATAATGGGGACAAGAAAGCCTCTTATTTTCCCATAGATCTCTGTTATTTCTCAGAACTGTTTGTGTCATACCATATCTGGGGATCTTCCTTTGACAATCTGTCAGTGCCTGGCACATGTTATATATAATAAATACAGATGGAAGTAGGGATATGGGAGGGTATCAAAAGGAGAGATGAGGCTGGATTCCTTTGCTCTTGGGAAGGTTGTGACTGGAGGTTCCCTGAAGTTTTGAACACAGTACGCTTTGCTCATCCACATTTTCAGAAAAAGAGAACAATAAGGCAACTTTCCAGAAATAAGCAAGAACCTCGTTCCTTGAATATATTAAACACTTTCATACTCCTGTGTCATTGCTAAGGTTATTCTCTCTTTCTGACATACACTTAGTCATTCTAACTACTCCTTTGGGATTCAACCTAAAAGTCATCTCTTCCTTGCCCTTTTCCTTAGTATACACATATCAACTCCAGGCAAAACAATCATTTCCTTACCTGCATTCCCAAGACACTTCACATCTACTGCAATTATAAGAATAGTGACATTGAATTATATGTATAATTTTTAATGTGTCCATTTCTCCAGAGAGGCTGTGAGTTCTTTGAGGCAGTGATCATGTCTCCTATTTTTTATCAGTTTTCATCCTCTGTGAAGCAGACACTAAGACAGGAGTAGATATGACAATGCTCATTGGTGGAAAGGCTGTGGAGGATAAAGAGGCAAAAGCCTGAGCAGGCAGGGAGGTGCAGTCAGACTGTGAAGGAAGCAGGAAGAAAGGGCAGGTAAGAAGAGCCACAGACTACGGCCTGGTTCTAAAACAAGCTTAGGCTTTTTTTTTTTTTTTTTTTTTTTACAGAAAGAAAAGTCAAAGGTAATTAACAAAACCCCCTAGAATTCATAATGATGAACAGAAACATGAAGAATATGCACACATAGCAGCACTGTATGGTGACTGAAAAAGGGGGGAAAGCAGTGGACCAGGACCACTCAACATAACTTGTCAGTTACTGGAAGAAAAAATACACACACAGGCACACATGTGCCCACAAAAACAAACAAATAAGCAACAAGAAAAAGATAGTTTTCGACAGCCAGCACAAATTCAGTATTATTTTACAGTGCTTCTTTTCTTAATACGAAAGATGCCTCTGTGTCCGTTGTGGTTTGCTGTTGACTTAATTTTAATATATTAGTGTTACTACATACAACATTTTGCTGTATTTAACAGGCTTTTCTTTATATTTTACCTTCATATGGTATCTTCCACCAGAAGTTTCAGGTTGGCAGGCAGATGGCTCCTTTGTTCTATGAGAAGTTGGATGCAACAGCTTTAATAGGGAGTCACCTGAATTCACATGAATCCCTATTAAATCCCTGTTACAGTGATAAGAATTCCCCAAACAAAACTTACCCTTTAAAAGACCACCCATTGGACAGACATAGTTTGGCATTAGTACCCATCTCTGCCTGTCCCATAGTCTAGGAGCAGCTGCTGTAGTGGATGTAGTTGGAGCTATCAGTCAAGATCCCAAAGCCCAGGATGTCTTAGAGGAAATCTGAGCAGTAAATTCAGGACTGCCACATCTCTGAGGATGGCAACATACCAGCCTCTAAAGGCTGCACTCACACTATCTGGCTTTAAACCTCTGCCACTTACTCAATTTATAAGTTTAGTTAAACTGCCTGTATCTCAATCTTCTCATCTGTAAAATGATAATAAAATAGGCCCACATTCATAGATAGAACTATTGTGGGATTTAAAAAGTAACAGATGCTGCATTTAGTACAGAATAGAACATGGTCAATTCATGATAAAGGTTAGCTTTTAGTTGTACTTAGCCCGTAACAGCACATGATGGGTACTTAATAACTTTTAGAAGAGAGGTATGAACTGGGTTGGGTGAGAGTAGAAGATGGAAGATTTGATAAAATGTTTTATAAAAGAGATGACACATTAGCTAGATCTAGATCAATGAGCAGGAGTTCATCATGCAAATAATAAGAGGGAGGGCTCAGCAGGCAGAAGAAATAGATGAAAAGGCACAGGTATATAATAGCACATGGCTTAGAGAGAATGCAGAAGGGAGTTTATCTCATACAAATTATTTATGCAGTTAAACTCATAAATATTTTGAGATATTCATTTATTATTATAAAGCAAACACATGCAAAAGTAAAAGAATAATCCCTTCCTAACAATATATACCCAATACTTTAAGTCCTATTTGATTGCCTGTATATTTATAGAACGTCATAAGGTAGTTCTTAACTTTCAGAGTGAATTGATGGTTTTTTATATAAATGGGGCCATTTGATTCAGGAAACGTTACAGATTATTTTAACTTTGAATTTACCTTCTGTCAGCAGTGTGTTATAGTGCGAGAAGCCTTGCCTGCGGATTTCAGTTCTCCACACTGTGCTGTTACTCTATGAAAGTAACTCGCTTCCTGGGACCTTACTTCCCTCCTAGGATAAACACAGTCAGAAACTGTGTTTGTTCATATCCTTTTCCCTACTGATCCAGGGCTTGCTAAGAGCCAGGTGCTCTGCTGGGGGCTTTTGTGTACAGGATCCCATCTAATCCTCCCTGTAATCTTGGGCTGACCTCTGACACCCGTTCTTCCACCTTGGGCTTCTTCAACTGGCTGTTTTAGGGCCCAGAGCAGCTGTCTTTTTATTTTAGTTGTTTGATCACTCTGTTTGGCTGGGAACAAAACAAGTGAGCCATGGTGTTTTCATATTCCAAAACGGGCTTTGGAGAGTACAAATTTTCCTGAGCGTGGAAATGCCAAATAGGCACAATGCCTTTCAAATCCCCCTTTCCTGATATTTGCCAAGAAAGTATAATGGGCTGTTGATTCAATGGTTGCCCAGACAGCCATACCTGTGTCTTTTGTCTCTTTTCCTACTGTGGTACTGTGCACAAAATAGAAATTCAAATCATGCTTTCTAGGAGGAAAATATCTTATCCATTTTTTACTTTGCTAGTGTGTGATTCTTGTGATTGAATAAATCATTTTTATGGTACTGGTTGTGGGCATTAATTATTTTATTTCTTAAATTTAACATATCTCTTATTTATGAATATACTGATATATATATATATGTTAGTAACATATAATGCCTGTATAGTCTTAGTTTCCTTATTTCTAAAATGAAGATAATGAGAAGTCTATTCGACTCATAATGTTGCTAAGATTAAATGGGGTGAACTATGTGAAAATTATTTATAATACATTAAATTTATATACAACTAGTTATTGTTATTGTTATGTGTCCAAATTAAGGTTTTTCTTTAAAGTAATCTCTTTGGAAGAATATATACTTATTCTGTAAATAAAAAATAAAAAATGTAGTGTGTTTGTTTAAACAAAGTTTCTTTTTCTTCTTCCTCTTCCTCTCTCTCTCTCTCTCTTTTCCTTTCCCCTCCCAAACAATTCAGTTCTAAAGCCGTTAGGTGGGGCAACATGGGTAAGCGTCTGCCCTGGAAAGAGGAATGAGCTACAATAGTGCAGAGAAAGACCTCAGAGCCCAGATGGTGGGGAAGGTGCACACAGCGGGCGCAGCCCAGCTGTGGAGTCAGCGTGCAGTGAGGCGGTGTCTGTGAACTGAACGGACCAAGTGGCAGTGGAGGGCGATGAGTTCAATGGAAAGCGATTGTCTTAGTCCATTTGGGCTGCTAGCAGAATATGACAGCATGGGTGTCTTAGAAAAAAGAGACATTTATTTCTCGCAATCCTGTAAGCTGGCAAGTCCAAAATCAAGTTGCCAGCATGGCTGAGCTCTGGTGAGGCCCTCTTCCTGGTTCATAGATGGCACGTGGGGAAGGGGCTAGGGATCTCTCTCCCTTTTATAAGACATGAATATATATAATACATAACATTTAGTATATTATATTTTAACATATTATTTTATCTAAAATAATGAAATATATATTCATTATATCTTATATTAAGTATATTATTATATTATAATATATGTTATATTGGTAATTATAGTATTTACTTATATTCCTATTAACTATACAGTTACATTGTAAAATATAATCATACATAATAACCCCGGTACTTTAAAATCATATTTTATTTATTTTTAAGAACTACTTAGATATGAGGAGAGGCTGACAGATAATCAAATAATAATTCAGTGAGAACTCTAATAAATGGAAGAAATAGGAGAATTCATTCATTCAGGTGACCAGCTAAGAAGCTGTTCTAGTTACAGCTCTCCAATTACAGCCATGCTATCTTGTCTCTGCCTTAGCAGAGCATTACAGGCAGTGCAATGTCGCAGAACAGGCTGATATCAGTGGAGAAGAGCCAGTTGTTAAATTTTTTACCTAGTTTTATACATAGCCATTGGTTAAAATTAAATGATATAAATGCAAAAATTAATTCGTTATAATAAAAAGAACAGTAATTGTCAAAACTAATTGCATCTTAATCGTTTACTACATTTTGCTATTGCCTATGTCCTCAGGGTTATTTATGATTATGGTACCCACAGGGTAAAAATACCTTCTCGTATATGCTACTGCTCTTCCTTTCTCCAGATCAGTGATATCTCAATGGTAGGTTGAAATTGGCATGGTGGAGTATTTATAGAGTGAATATAGGTGAACACTACACATCATGTCTTGATTATGTATTGGTTGCATAGATTTAAGAAAGAGGTAGAGAAATGTTAATATTACAGATTAAATTTAAATGAGTGTTGTGTCTGTAGTCATCACATTGTGTGTGCCACAAAAATATGAGAAAATATTTTTCCATTGTCAAGAATATCCAAAAATAAAAAAGAAGTCACCCGTGTCATTGATAAACCTGTGAAATTCTGACATACATCTCTGTATTTCACTCTTCCTTTGCTTCTTAACAAAAGAATCAACCAACATTTAATTTAAACTATATTTATATCAGTTGAAACCATAAGTCAGTAATAAGTACAAGATTGTCTCAAAAATCAATAAAAATATTAATGAAAATTGACATGGAATTTATAATAAAGAGTACTATATAACTTAATAGACTATTTTTTGTTTATTTTTTAAAGACTTTATTTATTTTATTTTTAAAGAGAGAGGAAGGAGGGAGAGAAACTTCAATGTGTGGTTGCCTCTTGCATGTCTCTTACTGGGGACCTGGCCTGCAACCTATGCACGTGCCCTGACTGGGTATCAAACCAGCGACCCCTTGGTTCATAGGCCAGTGCTCAATACACTGAGCCACACCGGCCAAGGCTAGGCTTTATTTTTTAGAGTAGTTTTAGACCTACAGCAAAATTGAGCACAAAGTACAGAGAGTTCTAATAGATCATCCTCTCCCAAATATGCACAACCTCCCTCACTATCAACACCCCCCACCACTGTGATATGTTTGTTATGATGAACCTACCATGACATGTCGTTATCACCGAAGATCCATAGTTTACATTAGGATTCACTCCTGGTGGGGTACCTTCTATATGTTTTTATAAGTAGGTAATAACATGTATTCACCTTATCATGTAGAATAGTTAACTGCCCTAAAAATCTTTTGCATGCTATTTATTTCTCTCTGCCCCCAAACCCTAGTATCCACTGATCTTTTTACAGTCCCCATAGTGTTGCCTTTTCTAGACTCTCATATAGTTGGAAACACATAGTATGTGACCTTTTTAGGTTAGCTTCTCTCACTTAGTAATACGCATTTAAGGTTCCTCTGTGTCTTTTCATGGCTTGATGGCTCATATTCCATCATCTGGATATATCACAGTTTATTTACCCATTCGTCTACTTAAGGACATCTTAGTTGTTTCTAAGTTTTAACAATTATGAATAAATTTGATAATAAATATTTGTGTGCAGGTTTTGTGTATACATTTTTAAAGTTGGGAATTACCTGTTGTAATTATACCTTTTATATCAGTAAAATTTACAATAAACTTAGGTACAAGTATATATTTATATTTTAGTTTTTTGGTTTTTGAACATTTACCAGCACGGTCATGCGAAACACTGGCTCTTCCTCTGAGTGCAATGTGAGGCCACTGTAGGACTTTGAACAGGGGAGCGGCTGGCATTTTTAAAGGTTCACTCTGGTTGCTGTGTCAAGACCTTAGTGAAATAGAAACAGCTAGAGAACCAAATAAAACTGTTATTACCAAAAAGCCTGGGTCAGAGAATGTAGTTTGGCATGAGAACAAAGATGGCACACAAACTCCCTGTCCTCCCCTCTAAGCCTTGGAATCTGAGGAAAAGGTGGCCCACAGAGTAGATGCTCGCAGAGATAATGCTGAGAGGAGAGAAGAAACCGCAGGCTTTTTTCTGTCTTATCTCTTCTCCCCAACTCCCTGAATGTAGAACACAAGGATTCTATAGCACTAAAATAACCAAACTATAGGAGATTTTTTTGCTTTAATTTCTTCTCTCTTTCTTTTTCTCATTAGAAGTTTCTTTTTTTAGGTGATTTTGCACCCAGAGTTCCTATCCTCCACCAGCCCCTTGTTACCCATGGATTATGAGGAGTTCGTCCGAGGTTGTCATCTTGGAGTATTTCCATCATACTATGAACCGTGGGGTTATACTCCAGGTATGTGACATGTACAGATTGTAGAAAGGTTTGAACTTTATTTCATGCATATATATGTGAGAAAGGGAAGGGTCACATCAAGGAACATGTATAAAGGACCCATGGACAAAGCCAAAGTGGGGAAGGATTGTGGGTGTGAGGTGGGAGTGGGAGGGGCAAGGGAAAGTGGTGGCAGAAAAATGGAGACAAATGTATTTGAACAATAAAAAAAATAAGTTGATATATAATTTGCTATTGGATAGAGAAGCACAAAACCAAAGCTGAAGTGATGGAGGGGATGGGGGAAATCATTCACATCAGGTAAAGAGAATGATATATAACTTCTGGCAGACTTTCAACCAAAATGTCATTTTACAGGACAGAGTTAAACTTGATCTGAAATGATAGAGGAGTTATATATAGTTGTTTAAAGTGTTATAAAACATAAGGAGATGAGCCCTGACTGGTGTGGCTCAGTTGGTTGGGCGTTGCCCCACAGGGTGAAGTGTTGCTGGTTCGATTCCTGGTCAGGGCACATGTGGGTTCAGGACAAGAGGCAACCTATTGCTGTTTGTCTACCACATCTATGTTTCTTTCCCTCTCATTCTCCCTCCCTTCTAATCTCTCTAAGAAAATAACTAACTGAATAAAATGTTTTTTAAAAATTAGACAAAAAAAAAAGAGTTTGGGAAATACTCCATAGTGAATGAGTCATTCTGTTTTAAATTAACCCAAGGAAGTTGGCTGCTCCTAACCTAATCTATAATTACAGAAATAATGAAAATTCTGGTGCTATAACTTAGCATATTAAATAAGTCTAATTGTTTTAAGAATAATCATTTTTATGTGATACTCACTCTGACTCACTTCAGAACAACACATTAAAATTTGTGTTTTGAGAAAGCCCAATGAATATTTATTTCATTAAATTCACCAAATGAACATATACTGAGCTTTCATGAATACCTGACATTTTACTACATGTGTGATAATGAATACTTTTAAAATAAAAATTTGTTAAGTTTCATAGAACTGTAGCCAAAATTCTATATATACATATGAATTTTTCTATAGAGGAGTTCCAGCGTTTTTATCAGATTCTCAAATGGATCAATAATCCCATTCTACCTTCCTCTCTTCCTTACCCCACCCCAATCCTAAATAAGGAAATCACTGCTCTCTAGAGATAAACCAGCAGGAAATAATTGCAGAGCTCTTGGGCAATGGGGAAATCATCTCTCTCTTTTTTTTAACCTAATCCCACTAGTCAACCAAGAATTATTCCACAATCAAACATAATTTCCTTGTTAAAAATGCAAATATCCTTGAGAGGGATAATGTTTGGTAAGATATATTTGAGATTTTATGAAAAACAGGTTTTGACTAAAAGGTAAGTGAGGACTGAAAGAGATCATGGGGTTTACCGAGCACGCAAAACCCTAGTGAGAGAAGCAGTATAGGGTAGCGGTTCCCAGCAGAAGCTGTTGAGCGGCACCTTTGGCTTCAAATCCCAGCTCTTCCTTGTCCCTTAACTGTGTGAAGTTGGGCAAGTTATTTAACTTTTCTGTCTTAAATTTCTTCATCTGTAAGATGGAAATAATGGTAGCCTCACTTCGCATGGTTGCTGAGAAGATTAAATGAGTTAATACACGTAAAGAGCTCTGCACAAAGTACAAGTGGCTATTGCTAGGACAGATGGGGGCTTTTTCCTCCTATGTGTGTGCGTAAAAGGACCTTGGAGCTGGTCTGAAGCCAAACCCTTTTCTATTTCTCCTGGCAGCCGAGTGCACTGTGATGGGTATCCCCAGTGTGACGACCAACCTCTCCGGCTTTGGCTGTTTTGTGCAGGAGCACGTGGCTGATCCTACTGCGTATGGTGAGGTTTTTCATCATTAACCCAACCCAGGGAGAAGTGACATTTAACCAAACAGAACCCAAGATCTTTACAGAACCTAACTCTAAAGCTATCCTGTTTAAACTAATGTTTATATCTCTTGTTTAATAAAAAGTAGATTTAATTATGTGGTCTATAGAAAAAACTGCTATTAATATTAAACATATTGCCAAAAGACAGACTAAAAAATGCATGAAATGAACAAAGAAATCGGAAACAGGAAAAAAAAAAAAACCCTGCAAAAGGAGTGTTAAACTTGAGTAAACTTGCCCCTTTACTTTTTTCCCCACCCTTCGAACTGGTTTGTCCCTCTGCTACCTAGCAGTGATATTACAATAACTATGCTCTTAGGAGTAATATTACACTACCTATGGTCTTAGAAATGATAGCGCAATAACTATATTGGTTGGCATAATTATTTAAAAGGCCCATGCCAAGTGAGCAGAATTCACGTACATTGTTTAAGATGACAGGAGAGTTTGTGTATTGCCATTTCTAGGTCCGTGTTCCCTAGCAGCAAGCCAAGTTTGAATGGGCTGGATTCTCTGCCTGCACACAGCCAGTTCCCTGGTCCTTCCCAGTTGCATTGTCACTGTTCTTTTTCCTCAGGTTGTTGTTCTCAGCCACGGATGTACACTGGGAACACTGGGGAGTCTAAAAAGCCCTGACACCCAAGTCACCCCTGAGATTCTGGTTAGTGAGCAGCCCAGGGAGAATCGTTGATCCAGGATATCCCTATCCTACCAGACTTTCTTTTCTTTAAAGCAAGATCCATTTTGTTGGCTATATGTTGGTGACAGTTTATAAACCATTAGAAGGATGCTATAGAAGGTACACGGCCTTGGAAGGGAGAAGATAGAGTGGAGGCAATAGGGAGTTAGAGAGTAGATAGTGCATGTGATCTACCAAAGAACCTAAGGAACAGGAGAGGAAGTGCTCTAAGGTGAACGCTATTTTTTAACCTGTGCTTTGGCTTTTGTGTCCTTCAGGTATTTACATTGTTGACAGGCGGTTCCGCTCTCCAGATGATTCTTGCAATCAGCTGACTCAGTTTCTCTATGGATTTTGCAAACAGTCACGCCGCCAAAGAATTATCCAGAGGAACCGAACTGAGAGGCTCTCAGATCTTCTGGACTGGAGATACTTAGGCAGAGTAAGCAAATTTGTGATTAACACAGAGGACCACTTTAAAAATCCCACTAGACCACAAATAAATTGATTCTAGGCATAATCTGTAAAGTCAACTCAGTATCATAATTGTTAAAATCTCAGTGATTTTCTTATGTACTTTATTCTACAAATGATGAATTTGCAAAGTCCTAAACCCAGTTCTTCATGTTTAGTCTGAGCCCGTAACAGTAAATCCATTGGCATCTAGCACCGATCTTACTATTTTATTGTCATCACTTACTGGATGCATTACAAGTATGCAGAAATATTTCATGAAGATGAGGAAAACATCAGGAGGAAAATCGCTACTTTGTTTCACTCTAAGAGATGATATGATTTTTTTCCTCAGCTACAGTAGGTAATGGGAATAAGATTGCTTTTCAAAATGACAAGTGCAAAGGGAAATACCTTCTTTCCTGCGGTAGGTTTAGAAGTACCCAGATGTTCATATATCATAGCACTGGATGATTTATATACTACAACATGAACTGACTTTGCCTTCACACAATGTGTCTGCCGAGATACTGCTAAATTTCCCCAAATGATAGATGCTGCCATTTGCTGAGCGTCTATACACCCAATCCCAATGCTCATTACAACTCTGGATGAATAATTTCATTGTCTTCATTTTATAATGAGAGGAGAATGATAAGACTGTTAGACCTCAATTTTCAATTTTTTTCATCTCATGGCACACATAAACTAATTGCTAAAATTCTGCAGCACACCAAAAGATATATCTTTCTGCTGATCTGACAAAAAAACATAGGTATGGCTATTGTTGTATTGGCTGTTGGCATTTTTTTCATTTGACAATCAAAAAGAAAAGAGGTTGGTGCTCCTGACTAAACAGTCACCTACTGCATGTTTTAAAAATCCTTGATACACACTGGTTGAAAATCACTGCCTGTTTATTCAGGCCTTATCTTTTTTCCCCCACACCATACGACATCTCTGTAGAATGAAACCAGTGTTTTCAGTCCCTTTAGCACAAGTTCAGAGTTCACTAAGGCCAGTATGGTTTCCCGCCAATGTTGTGTAGCATTTCTTTACCTATCCATTGAAAAATAATAAAATTATAAACTATAAAAAATTATAAATTATAAAGTTATAATGTTATTTTTTCCCTGATTCTCAAACTTAAATTGGATAGAATCTGTCACTTTTTAAAACTAAATTGTATAACTAAAAGAATATTTTATTTGATAACTTCGTTGTTGACATACATAAATCTTTTTTTAACTTGTGAATTGGTCTTCCATCATAGTATTATCAGCACGCCAGGCACCTGACATTAAGCAGAGCCTTTTCAGATAAATTCCAAATGGAACCCACATCACCACCAACGGTAAATATTTTGTGTATTGCTTATTCGTTTTGAAAGCTAAATTTCTTATTTATGATAACTCTTAACAATACCTTTTGATTTGAAAGTAGCTAAGTACACTATTATACTTTTTCATAGTGTAATATCAAAGCAAAGACCAGAGGAACTGACAAATCAGATCACCTTACAGCCCTTGATTAAGAGTTAGCCTCACATGTAAGATGAGCAGTCAGCTAACTCAGGTCATTGGAGCAGCACCTCCCCACTAAAACTCTCTCAGCCTTAGTGCTTGAAACTGCTCCATTAGACATCCATTCTTTTGAAAGTTGTTCAAAAACAAAGTAGCTTGCTTTAACAGGAAGTTGATTTTTCTAGCCAAGGAAATATTTAAATATAGGGTGACTGCTTGGCCAGAGACAGAGACTGAATTCAAGGACCACAGGAGGAATTGGACAAGGTGGGCATTTATGTTCCACCCAGCATTGCCCTTCAGGGAGTCTTCTAAAGTTCAAGTACACATTATGTTAATGGGACAACATAGGCTGCTTGCCATCAGATTCACTTAGAAGGACAGAAGCTGGGAAACATAGTTAGAAGCAGGGAAGTATCAGACATTTCTCTTTGGTGGGATTGTCCTTTCAGCAGTCTACATAGTGGTCAAAGAGCTAAACTTCTTTGTTCCTCTAATCATGAGGTGATAGCTTATGTGCAAGAAAATGAGACCCATCACATTGGATATGAGATCCATCTTAATTTCTGTGACTCACAGGAGCTAGTATCTCGTGTTAATTCCCACAGACATCTTCCATGGTCTCTTAAAGAATATGCCCAATTACAAGACTCATCAAATTTAGGGATTTCCCAAAGCTATGGATCCTCCAAGTTCAGATGTTAATTTCCCAATCAGGGGTCATTTTTGCCATAAGCAATTTTGCCTGATAATACAACTTATATTCCATCTATATCAGGTGTTCAGGAAAATAGACCTAGAAAGTTAACACAAGGTAAAATTTGCTCGTAGAGAAGATGAAAGGGTTTTGTAAATCCCTCCATCAAATTTCACTTTCATATTCATGATTTTACAGAGTTAATTGTCCAGCTTTTTTAGAGGTGGATGCTCCAGCTGAAGATAACTCAGCTATATGCAGCTATTAATATACATACAACTATTAAGTATGGAGCTTCTCCTCTGAGCCAAGTCCTAAGTGCAAGACTCAGCTTTTTTTTTCTTTCCTGTGTTACTTTTGGCTAGAGTGTCTGAACCTTGAAATGACTGTACAAGTATGACACAATAATACTGTATAAAAATTATTGAAATACATTGACAAGTACTGTGACAGTTTTATACATATTTCCTCCCATTCAAGCATGAGCACTCCTAGAGGGCAAGGATCCTCTTTCTCATCTGTTTCCTCAGTGCCATTACCATGGCTGACCTGTGTTCGGTGCTTAGTATGTGTTTAAAATATGAATTATCTCAGGGAATCTTAGGTAGAAGGGTGATTGGATTAAATCCTAGTGATCTTTGCTCATTAACTTAAATAAAAATAGCAGGTGGGATTTCAGAGTTAGCTCAATGGCCTGGCTTCCAGGATGCTTTGTAGTGGTGGCTGTCCATGGCATGTCCAGGCTGGCCACATCCTGCAGTTTCACTGAGCAAATCTAAAGGATGACATAGAGACCGATACTATGAGCAGTGTAACACAACAGTTGAGATGAAAGGTTCTGGGATGATCATCACTCTGGTACAAATCTTTGCTCTACCACGTATGTGTTATATGACCTTCGGCAAGTCATTTGGCCTCTCTAGCCCATAATTTTCTTCTGTAAATGGGAAAAATAAATTTATTGAAGTGTTTTTACAAAGATTAAATAACACATAGGTAGTACCTGGCACACGTCAAAGGTTAATAAACTAAAGCTATTATTTAATGAATCTCTCTTGAGCTTGTTGGTACCAGAATCAGAATGAATTCAAAATTAATAGTCCCTGAAGAGACCACAGAAAATATCCACCTTTGTCTTTTAATAAAATGTACTTGCAAAACATTTACATGTTGGAAAATTAAGAAGTTGTTATATTGTTTGTGTCTTATTTTGTCTTTGGCAGACAGAAGGATTTAAATATCCCAGGCCTTCCTCAGTACCACCTTCTCCTTCGGGGTCTCAGGTCTCCAGTCCACAGAGCAGTGATGTGGAAGATGAAGATGAAGATGAGAGATATGATGAGGAAGAGGAGGCGGAAAGGGATCGGTTAAATATTAAGTCACCATTTTCTCTGGGTCATGTTCCTTATGGGAAGAAAAAGCTACATGGTGAATATAGGAACTGAATTCCACACTTGTTGAACAGAGCTAATTTAGGGAGAGCGTAGGAAGAATGATTATTTAAAGAAAAGAAAATGCCACAAATTTCATTTTCTTTTAAGTATCACAATTGGATTTATTCTCTCCCTCAGAAGTAGAAATTAAGTCAGTAGCAATTTTATAAGTTAAAATCCAAGTTATTTTCTTCAATTTCTTTCTCTCCAGTAAATTTAGGGATGAGGAAGAGTGTTGATTAAAGGAGGAAGACTGAAAGTGTTTTTAAAATGGTTAATTTAAGCAATAACAATTTTTGTTTACTAGTGTTTTTCAAATTATCATTACCATAATCCTTTGTTTAGTATTTATACAGCTTCAATATCTCTCAAAAAAGTCTCCCATTCCCCCCCGCAAAAGATCCTGTTCTTTAGCCATGAATGTACACTACCTACCTATTTTAAATAACTCAGTGTTCAATGATTATTTTCATTTTTCACATGAGTCAGAAACATGACTTCATATCTAGCTTTGCAGGCAATCAAAATACATAATAAAACAGCTATTGTAAATCCAGATCTTGATGCATATTCGTGCATATTTACAAGGTCACTTCTCAAATTTATTTGTACTGTGGCATCTAACCATAACATATTTTTATTGTTTAAAAGGAAAGCCTATTTGAAAACTTGGCCACAGAAGATACATTATTAAATCCAAATTAATAAATATATCAATATTTAAAGATTTAACTTTCATTGATAATGTCTTGTTTAAAATTCTTTTAGATATTTAAGATAACATGTAAAGCACCTGATACATAATTGTGCCTTCTAAAGGACAAAATTTTAAAAATATATTTGAAAAAACAGCAAAAAGAAAATTTAGAGTCTATTCTATAATAAGGACAGTGTCTCTAACACATTCATGATATGCTCGGAGTCAATGTTGAATGGCTGCAATTAAGCATCTTTATGTTTTAAGTGTATTAAGCCTAAATTGGAAAAAACAAAGCAAGACAAATTCACACTCACTCTTGGATTGTTTTTTTCACAACTGAAAATTATTATTGAGTATTATTTAGATCACAGTGAACACCTTAGTTGGCGTATCAGCTGGTGTAGGTCAACAGAGGCTGTAAAATGTTCTGGTCTTCTCAGTGCTGTGCTGTTGATGGCAACAAAGACAGGCAACAATGATGGTGTGTCAGATAGTTCAAGACCAGCTAACAACTGTAATCCAGGTCTCCTGTTGCCCCACTGTTAGGGAAAAGTAGAAGGGTGGGTACAAACAACAAATCAGGCCAAAATAGAAAATGGTTGCAAGCTCACCTCCTGGAGAAATTCAGGAAGAAGGGAAATAAATTACCTAAAGTCCAAGCCTTGAATCGTGCCCCATGGATGTGAATTAACCCAGTGTCTGCAGAGCAGTTTAGAAAGGTCTGCACCGAAGATCAGAAAAAATATGAGATGGATTTGTACTGCCATACGAACACTCTTTTGCTGAGTACCAGGAAGATCTCATGACAAAAAGGAGTTTCACTATTACAATAACCATAAAAATGTATCCCTGGTCGAGTGGAACACTGTATGTCTTCCAATACTCTTAATTGGTAATTGGTTGGGCCACTTACTGAAAACATGAGCTATGTAATAAAATACCTTCTTAATATAAAGCTTTAAAATTCAAATGTTTTACCACATGAAAGACTAGCCCTCTGCTTAGAAATGAGTACACATGCTAGTACACATGCAAACTGACAATTTGCAACCACTTGCTTCTGAGCAGGTGGCATGTGCAGGAGTCAGCGTTTCTACCCTGCAGTGGCTCCTCCATTCAGGCAGCTGCCGCCCCTTGACTCCATCTTCTTGCCCAAGTCGTTTATTGCCCTTTCCCCCAAACTGACAAAGCCGGGTGAGTGCCAACAAAAAGGACTGTTAGGTGATTCTGTATCTGTAAGACACAGTAAGGGCCTAAACGAATGGTCTTACTGGGAGAAACTGAGGTACAAAAAATGCTTTTAAAGAATGTATGTATTCATAAGGGAGAGGACAGGAACTATAAAAAAAATAGTTTGTGTGTTCTTGGCCAGCTGAGAGCAAGACTTTTTTTTTAACACATTGTACCACACTTCCCCCATGGTAAGAGTTAGGGTTAAGAGAGCTGGTTTTACACATATAAGTGAGAATATAAAATGCTACAAGTGCAGTGCTAATAGTTTTTCAGGGCACAAGGAGGACTAAGAAAAGGAACTGTTCAAGTGTACACTGGGGAGGGTCAAAGAGACTTCTTAGGATGAGCCTAACTTTCACTTCACATGGTGGTTTTCAGGATCAAATCAAATTAGAAATGATCTCTTCCTGAAGGATTATAGTCCAGAAAAAGGAGACCAGCAGGTTACATTCTCAAGTCCCCTTTCTCTTGAAGCTGAAGTAAAATAATGTAATTCAATGTTGATAGGGTATAGGCTCTTAGTTCTCATAACCAGGTAAAGAAAGAAATGTGAATTGAAGGCTGCTTTTAATGTAAGGGCCTCTTTGCCTTCTCTTCTCTCATGATCAGAGTGGTGGTGTGGAAGGAGAGGAGGTGTCTTCTGGGGAAGTCAGAGAAACAAAGCCTAATTGAGGGCCCACACTGGAGACCATTTATATATATGTGTGTGTGTGTGTGTGTGTGTGTATATATATAGTGGCAAAGAGGGGCAGAGCAACTGGAACTTCACTAAAAGTGGCTGCAAGGCCAATCTGTGGCGGGAATATTCTAGTACATGGATATGCAGGGGAGGCAGACACTTTCCCAGTTTTAAAATTTAAGCCATGTAATGTGAATAACTTTGATCAGTGATCATTTGTTCATTTCAGTGTTGAAAAATGTAGAAATAAAGAGAATTGCCAAGAGACTCGAAGAGAGATATAAAGTTATAGTGAACTGGGCCCAGGGGCCATTATACAATGGCTGTGTTAATCAGCATATCCGTACAGCAGAAAAGCATTCAAGGAATTCAAGTACTTATCATACATGAGCTGATATTATTTTAATGGCTACTGGTCATTTAGACAGCTTTTTAAAATTCCGTTTTAGAGCAAAACACTTGAGATAGTTCTAGTTCACTGTTGGAAGAACTATTTCATAAGACAGATTTTAAAAGTGTTCTGGGAATAAACATAATGTTTAAATAAACAATATGTACAAGTCTATGTCAGATGAGTAAATAATTATCAATAAACTGGATATATGCACTGTCTAGGAAATCCATTTTAAAACCAAGTCATAATTAATGACAGGTACCTATTATAATGCCACATAGATTTTTTTAATGCTGGCATATTTTGGGACAGAGATCGATGTTACATTAACTTGAATATAATTTCATTATTCAACTATGAAACAACTTACAGACAAACTGTAGAAGCAGAGTTTTGATTACTTAACACAGTAAATTGTAATTATAAGTTACAGAGACATTCATACAAGGATATTGTTTAGCTGCTAAATAATGGCTATATACTGATGACAGTAAGAATTAACAATACTTTCTACTTATGACATTTATCAATAACAACTTTCAATTAAGTCAAACATAATTAACATGAGTTATAATTACAAATAAATATATTATGCTTGTACAATAGGCATATGTGTGTATATATATTTTTCAGATAGTAATGAACCCAAGTTGACTTTAAAAAAGAGTAAATTAGGCACATTTCCATGCACTTATGTTATCAGGGTGCCTTTATATAATCTTCTGATGTCACATAAAGCCTAGAGTTCTAGTTGATTAGAGCAAACAGTCTTTGAGTCTGTTTAGCTATAGAAAACAGGTTACCTCTAAAAAACTGGCTTGTTCTTTCCATACAACATGCAGAAGAGCAGAGTGTGTTTCATTGGCTTCTGTCCCAGTAACTTTTGGATCCCAGATTCTAAACTGAATTCAGGAAGATACCAGAGAACACAAGGGGAACTCCACGCTGTGGAGCCTGCAACCTGCTCCAGCCTCACCAAAGAGCCCTCTTTCAGCTGCTGCACTGGAGTGTTCTAATCACAGGGCTTCTTCCCTGCTGCCCCTTCTTCTCTCCCGTCCTAACAACTCACTTGTCCTGGATGAACTGCTAAGAGAATCACAATCTACTCTTTCTCATCCAGGCTTGCTTCCCGCCTCACACTCCCTGGAGGTGGGAAAAGGAGAAGGAGATCCCCTGCTGAGTGACAAGTGGGTTACAGAATGAGAAAACCAACAAGTAATAATGATTAGAGGAAGGCTATTTGTTGTAACAAAAAGAACACTATAGTCTTCAATTTTATAATTGCAAACGTGCTAAAAAATTCATGACTGAGATGATGAGCTAAATGGGACCTGATGCAATTAAAAAAAAAAAAAAAGGCAATGATATCCTCAGTTAAGAATCCTACTTTACTTTTGTTACTAGAAGAATACAACTAGCTAGCTGTACATATCCCTAAGATTGCAAATGAAGCAAAAATGGTCCACGAGTTTTATTCACATGGTTCATGTCTTCAACAAGGATAGAACTGTAACTGGATGCAATTTGGTATATTTTCACCAGTTTAGCAGACTGTCATCCAGGAATCTGGTTTGATCAAAGTTTTCTTCCCCAGCTGTAAGAAAAAAATTACATAAAATCAACTCACTTTCCAAATTTTTAAAAAAGCAAAGATGAAAAGAACCTCAGGAAATAAACATTTAGTCTCCTAAGATATGTTAACTCATGCACTCTGCTACTAAAACCCACCCCAAAATAACGGGTTTTGATTGATTTAGTTGTATATGTTTTTCCTCAGCTTGAGACATACCGGGGAACTCACATTTCACATCTAACTCTCCATACTGAATGAAACTGTAACATGGTGTGTTTGGTGGGAACCTGAAAAGGCCACATGCCTCTCTCTAAGAATCCCTCAGGTCTAAAAGACCCACCATTAGAACCACTGGCTTGCAGCAAGGTTCTTTTTCTATATTTAAAATGCATCTTACTTGGGGAAGATGACATAGGAACACATTTACACATATTCCCTTATTAGATAAGCTGCAGGTCTGGGGAGGAAATGAGACAGAAAGAAGGGATCATTGTTAGCTGGACAGGATTACAAGAGCACGAGGTATCACTACTGGGGCCTCTCTATGAGGTTTTTCAACTATAAAATAATGAAGTTGGACTTTGAGCTTTTTGAGTTCTAAGAGAAATAAAGGTTACAATAGACTGTGGATTGTGGAATTCATATGAAATTCCCCAGTCTCACCAAGGAAATGTTTTTATGTTCTTAGGACTCATGTTAATGAGAAACATACTGGTCTTTAGATAATCAACATTCTGTAAATTTCTGGGGTAGGGGCAACTGTTAATTATTTTTAAAAACCTGAACAAATAAAGGCAACTTTGTTGTCCTCAATACAGAATCCCAAAAGTTATGAAAGCTTCTATGCCTTACTGTTAAAAGAGGTCACTATACTTGTACCTTCTTGTGGCTTCTGCAAGGAAGTCAACAGCAGAGCTGCTGCCTCTGGAAGAGTTAGTAGTAGGGCATTTGGACTTCGTTTTTCTGGAGGAACAAAAATGTATACAGATCCTAATAGCATTTAAATATTCATATCGGGCCCTGGCTGGTGTGCTCAGTGGACTGAGTGCCAGCCAAAGGGCCACCGGTTGAATTCCCAGTCAGGGCACATGCCTTGGTTGCAGGCCAGGTCCCCAGAAGGGGGGGCACATGAGAGGTAGCCACACAGTGATGTTTTTCTCCCTCCTTTTATCCCTCCCTTCCCCTCTGAAAATAAATAAATAAAATCTTTAAATAAATAAATATTCATAAGAAACAGATTTTCGATCCCTCAGCAAAGGGTCCCTGCACAGAAGAGGTTTTTATAAATTGAAATATTTCACACTTCCCTTGGACATTACTTACAATTGGTTATGTTATGTATTACAGGGTATGGAAAAGAATTTAAGCTATATACAACACAAAATTTCATGAAAGCAAAGAGGATTAAGATAAAGAGCCCGTGAGAAATTTCCTCCTTCAGAACTTAATATCGTATGTCTGGGCAGAACGGATTGGATGTGATCCAGCTTAGAGCCTGGACAACCTCCTCTCTCCCTCCTTCCAAAGCAGTTTGCGATGATCTACGTTCTTGGCCATGTGTAAGGCAATTATTTGACTGAAGGAGTATCTGCTAAATATACAAAATTATTTCAAATCTAAGTTGACTGAAGACAAAACATCCTGATTCAGCACAAACCATGCTTTTTAATTTAAGAGCAACTGGAGTGGAAAACAGCTTACCCTCGCAAAGAAAATAGGCTTAATTACACTGCAATCTTGAAAAAGGTAAATGAATATTTGTTAAGCACCTACCATGTGCTGAACACAGAATTTGGTATTTTTCAAAATAAGTACGCTATTTATTTTTAGCATTTCAGTCTTTGAATTTTATAAAAGTTAATTGTATTTTTATAATCCAGTGGCATGGAAAGTCCCCGGTACCATTCTTTATAGCCTCCATTTACCAACTATTTCTGGTTTTGAACATTTTGATAGCTATTTCTACTAATATAAGAGGCACACGTTTTAAGTTTCTAGGTGAATCATTATCTTAATAATAATAAAGTGTTTAGGAGGAAACTATGTAAAGGTCCTGTCCTAACGGAGAGGCACCTTTTGGGGACTGCTGTAGTTCTCTCTACCCAGCCTTACCCGTCGGAGCTCAACTGCCCCGGGATTTCTGCACAACCAGGGGCCAGAGGCCACTTTTTCAGCACCTGCGACCAAATCAAGCCTGCGGAGACGCAGCCCCGGTCTCGGAGCCGCTGTCACCTTTAGGGCGGGGCGTTGTGAGCCACCAGCTCTGGCGCTCCGCCAACTCGGGCTCGGCCTGGGCAGGGACTCGGGGCGGCCCCCACGCGGCGTCCTTCCCGGTGGGAGACGCTTTCCTTCCGAGCGTAGCAAAGAGCGCCCTGCCCTCCTACTCTAATTCGCCGGACCGGCCCCTCGCTCCCTCGGTCACTCACCCGGCTGCGGTCGGTCGGAGAGGTCCTTCCTCTGACTCTGGTTGGAGATGAAGCGGCGTCCCTCTGCAAAGGCGAGCAACAGGGCTCAGCGCCCGCCGGGCCCGGGTCGATCAGGGATAAACCATAGCCGCCTCGCGCTGCGAAGCCTCCAAGCCGGGAAGCGGGGACGCGGCGGCCAGCGCTGGGCTGCGGGTTCCGAGCGCTCGGGGAGCAGCCCACGGCGCAGCCAGGCGCAGGTGCGGAGAGCTGGAGGAAGGTTCCGCGCGCCCCTCCCCGCCGCGCGCGCCCCTCGCGCGCCCCTCTCCTCTTCTCGCACCCCAGCCCGACGCCTTGAGGGGACTTGGGAGCAGCGGGCTGGTTACCCAGCCAGTGCAGTATTTCCCAAGCAACCCCAGAGTCGTCTTCTGTGGCACGAGCTAGCAACCCTGCTTAGGATGGAGGATTTCAGAAACTTCCTCTTCCACCGACAACGCCCTCTCCCTCCACTCCCTCTCCCCACCCCTCACCCTCTTTGCGCCACCGTCCCTTTCCCTTCTTTAACTGAGACCGGGATGACCTTGACCTCGATTATTGAAGGAAACAAATTTGATATTAGTCTTTCCCTGCAGCTCTCATACACCCCCAAGGACCTTCCTTTATTGCTGTAAGAGGAGCTAAGTATTTCAAACGTACGTGCGCCCTTCAGGTAAAGCATAGCTTGAGGAGTCCAGTTCCTTCTCTCCAAGAGTCTCTACAACCCCGAGAAAAGAGAAAAGCAGTTAATAAGATAGTGCAACCCGGCCCTCTATTAAAAAACAAAAAGGAATGGAAGGAGAGAAAAGACATAGAGAAATTAAAAAAAAAAAAAAAAAGAAAGGAAGGGAGGGACAGAAAGAAAAGAGGGGAATAAAGGGAAAGAATATTCAGGATCATCGATTTTTTTTCTTTTTTCTTTGTTTCTTTGTTTCTTTGTTTCTTTTTTTTTTTTTTTTTTTTTGCGTTTGCTTACCTGTGGAGCACTGCTAGCATTTCCCAGGAAAGAAAACACCAGGAAAAGAGCCAGCGTTGTTGCCGCCAGACTCCTGAGTCCCTGCAAGGAAACATCAATCAAAGAAAGTCATTCCTGTGTCTGTAGGACCTTATGCTTCCTTTCTTGACGCCTGGACAATTCAAACCCGTTACTTTCTTGCTGCGTTCTCTTCAATACTCAGTATGGAACGGGGTGGGTCAGGGGTTCCCCAGTTTGCCTTCTACTTAATCCCCAAGAGTTCTCTTTTTAAAGAAATTATTTAGAAATATATGTTCATAACAACCCAAATGACAAATGGCGTGAATAAGTGACTTTTTTCTTAGTAATATCAAATGATTCTAATATTTTAAGGCATAGTTTAAATATCCTCTAAAATGCGTATTAAACGTACAACAGGCAAAAGCTCTAATGCTTTTTGTAAAATAGTTCAAAAAGTCTTAAGTAAATAAAACCTGTACTTGCCTTCATGGTCTGCTCCTTTCCAGAACCTGCAATAAATGTAACTTTACCTGGGAGCTTTCCAACCCTGTTCTGTAAGTGGGGCTTTTAAAATCTTAGTGTCAAGGACCCTTCCTTCACACTTCAGTAGCGTTAGGGAGTCCACAGGGATTTCTTGTCAGTCTTCCAGGGTGAGAGGATCTGATGACTCCTCCAGGAAGATTCAGTTGCAGGAAGTAGAGAAATGATTGATGGCTGGACATCATTTGCTGAGATTGATACTGACCACATCAGCAGAGATATATTCTGAAAAAATCAGCATTATTGCCTTTGCTTTTCCCACTAGCTTCACAAAGCATTATCATCATCATCATTATCAAGGAAAATGATTACTAACTCCTGGCACAATCAAAACTAAATAAAGTAAGAAAACATTTTGGATAACTAGCTGTCAAGTTATCACTGATGACTCAAGATGAATCATTTGGGCAGAAATGAAAAGGTTAGGGAATCTCAATGGAATTTGACATTAGTTATTCACTTAGTTATCCATTCAATTACTTAACAAATATTTATTGCATGCCTACAATGCATTAGGTATTCCTTTTTTTAGTTCAAGGGATACAGCCATGCATGAAAAAGACACAGTATCCTCTTTGATCAAACTTATCCCTTAGGGGAGAAACACTCTAAACTAGTAAACAGGTAAATAAAATAATTACAGAATGTTTTATCAAGTAAAAGTAAACAACATGATGTGATCAGGAAAGTGGCAGGCTATGTTATAGAAGGTCAAAGTCAAGGGGAATGGGTCCGGAAGGATAAGGTGAGATAAGACATGTGATAAATTAGAGTGAGAATTTGTATTCCAGGCAGAAGAAAGTAAAGCAAAATCTTGGGATGGCAAAGAGCTAGGCTTACTTGAGGAATAGGAAGGAAACCAATGGCGTCAGAGCTGTATGGGTAACAGAGGACAGCACTTTGAAATGAGGTTGGAGAGGGAGAAATGGGCCAGTTATTTAGGAATATGGTTGTAAGTAAGAGATGATGATGGTTTGGGCTTGGGTGGTACTTGCAGGGAATGAAAAGCTGTAAATGAATTGGGGTGAAGGTTGGAGGCAGAAAATACAGAACTTGTGGATACATGAGAGTATGACAAAAATAAATTAGGGATGATTCATGGGTTTTTGGCTTAAACACAGAGTGAATGATGAAATCTTATATTGAAGTTGGAGATACTTCATAAGGGAGCAGTTAAGAGAGGGAAATTGAGTTGTCTTTTGGGCCTTTTAAAATTAAAATGTATGTTAGATATACAGGTAGAAGTGGGAAGTAGGCAATTAGAAATGCAAAACTCTACTGAGCTCAGCAAAGAGGTCACCAGCCTATAGATACTTTTCTAAAGGCAGAATTTATCAGTTTTAAGAATTCTAAGAATTTTAAGTCAGGAAAAGGATTGGGATTGAATGATCACACTTAGGGAGTGAATGGAGTTAAAGAAGAGAGGTAGGGACAGAGCTACGACAATAAATATACAGAAAATAAGCAGAGGGAGAGCCAGTAAGGCAGCTGAGGTGAGGCAATAAGAAAGAAAGGAGAAATTCCAGGAGGCAGTGGAAGCCAGGAGAATATCCATTATGTTGAAAGGTCAAACTAGATGGGAACTGAGAAGTGTACAGTGAATTTGGGAATACGATGATTTTTGAAGACATAAACTAGATTGGTTTGGCTTGAAAGTGAACGGGATATGAGAAAATACATACAAGCATCGACAACCTCTTTTAGGAATTTCACTAAAAGGGGGAAAAGGAAAAATGAATATTTTTTAAAGATAAGATACTTGAGTGTGGTGAAATTGTGTTATTTTGGGGGGCCTCAGTAATATCTGAATCTTTTTATTTTTTTAATTGATTAATTAATTAATTAATGTAGAGAGAGAGAGAGGAAAGGAAGGAGAAAGGGAGGGAGAGAAACCATTGTGGGAAAGAAACATTGATCGGTTGCTTCTAGTATATATCCTGACTGGGGACCAGATGTGCAACCCAGGTATGTGACATGACCAGGAATGGATCAGGTGACATTTTGCTTTGAGGGACGTTGCCTAAGCGACCAGTGAACCACACTGGTCTAGGCTGTTTTAATTTTATTTTTAAGTTTTTCTTTTTTTTTTAATCCTTGCCAGAGAATGTATCCATTGATTCCAGACAGAGGAGGGAGATAGAGGTAGTGTGTGTGAATGAAAGAGAGAGAGAGAGAAACAGACATTGATGTGAGAGAAACATTGATTGGTTGCCTTTCATATGTACTCCTGATTGGGGACTGCATCTGAAACTCAGGAATGTGCCCTGATTAGGAGTTGAACCATGACTTTCTTAGTCTATGGGACGAAGCTCCAACCAAGCCACACCAGCCAGGGGTGAACCCTTTTATTTTTAGGGAGATCCTAAAGTTTCCTAACTTATGAATGATTAAATTATAACTCTTGGTGGTGGGCAGAGACATTTTTTTCTTTTGTAGAATCTGAAAATGCCAGCTCCTCACTTTCCCAGCCTCCCTAAAAGGTAGGGTGTGGGCACATGACACGGGCTTCACCAATCAGAGGTACCCAGTCAGACGGGCAACCTGGAGCTACACTGGAAGCAAGCGGAGGTCAGAAGAAACATTGGTGCTGCAGTGGTTGTAGTAAGCTTGAGTTTGTGGGGGCAATACTGTCTACAGTGCTAACAGCAGATTCCAAATGGTGTTCCCACCTCCAGTGTCCTTAAAATGAAGTCCTCTTGCTCAAGTCAGTCCAGTTTGTTCATTTCTCTTGATGACAACTAAGAAACCAATCACAGGACATGTATTCTGATGGAGATGATTAGTAGAAAAGGAGAAATGGATGATGAAGAAGAGAACTGCAAAAAAGTACATAAAAGGCAAGAGGGATAGGATCCAAAGTATGTCAACACTCCATTGAAATGGTTATATACACTGGCAGATGTTGAACAAGGACCTGAGTGCCCACCACATGCTAAAGTACCATGGATTAGAGAGATGGTCCCTTTCTTTTAAAAGAGCAGTTTTTCAGGTATTAATGAGTCATTTGGGAAGCTAGCTAAAAAGCAGATTCTGGTTCAGTACAGCTGGGGTGGGGCCTGAAGTTCTACATGTCTAATAAACTTCCAGATGATGCTGGTGCATGCTACTCTACTGATCATTGGACATTTTGAGTAGTAAAGCTTTAGAATCTGCGAGAAGTGATAAAAGCTAAAGCTTAGATCGGTGTGGCTGGGAGAATGGCTAGCTGTAGAAATACTGGAGTATGGGGAGAGAACAGATGAGTTTGGTGGGGACTGGGGTGGGAGGGGCTGGTTGCTACCTGCAGATCTCTGTATAAGAGAGATCGGGATTGCGGATTGCGGCACTTGATATTTAGACTCCATTGTCATGTGCAGACAAGAAAACTGGAGTTTGGTTAGTAAAAGGAGAATGGAATACACAAAGTAGTTTGTAGATGGAAACTTGAGGAATATTTACTCCTTTTAAAGAATAAGCAAGAAAAAGCCAAATCCCTTACTGTGATTTTCCTACTGTCTTAGGAGAAGAGAAAGATTTAAAAAAAAACAACCCAAAACTGAAAAACTAAAAGGTTAACACCAAAACCAGGTAAAATCTTAAATTCCTTTAAATATTAGATTTTAGGACTTAATTTCAAGAGATTGTAAAGAGTAATAAAGTATGCATGTATTTATGATTTAAATGAAATCTTAAATGAACTCCAACTACTAGGTTACCTAACAGACAAGTAAAATGTCTTTTTCCTCTGTCCATACCACAGACACATACAGAATTTAGAAAGAGGAACAGGAAAATGAATCACCACTTAAACTGTTTGGAATTTACAATTTTAAGTAAAAATAAACAAGTGTGGTTTGTTTACAACAGCTTTGCTAATGAATTCACAAGCAGCTGTTTGACGTCAAAGCTGTCATTCTTGGTAGAATATGCACAAATGAAGAGAATGGTTTTGACATATTATCAATATTGTAGTCTTATCCAAAGTAGCAGGTCAGAATGTGTTTGTTCTAAAAGGACATTGACTTCCAATAAAATATTTTTGTTAAACCATGAAGTTTTATGATTTTTATAGGTCTAAACCTAGAGATGGGCCTAGAAAAGTTATTTGATAATGAAATGGATGGATAAAATGACTAATTTTTTTTCTGCTGACATTTATTCTGCTGACCAGGCAGTGGGCATTGAACAAATTGGATCCTAATCTTTTAAAAAAGGCATATTCAATGGAGACCATTTTGCCTGCATAGCTGATGTTATCTGAAATTTTCTAGTTGATTGGAGGGTACTCAGGACCGGTTTTAAAAATAACCGTCACGGTTGAAACTGCATTCTTACAAGGTCAGTGATTATTATTCACATAGAAAACAGCTCCCATCTTGGGTCAAGTTACGTGGGCGATGTGGCTATTATGATACTAAAGTATCCAAATTATTTCTTTGATGAAAGAATAGAGAGGATTTTGGAATATTATGAATGAAGCCATTGGGTTCAGTTTCCTACTTTGGCTTTATTCCGTGCCAGAGCCGCTTTTTGCCATAGGCCACTTGTTTCACAAACAGGTGGTAAAAAGTAATTCCCCCAAAAGGGCTGCCAGTTCTGGGAAGGGCTTTAGGGGGCACTGAGAAGGCCTGCTATCAAAATAAAACATCCCATTCATGGACCAGTGTCTTTACCACTGTTCTTTTACTTAAGGCTTTGAACCTCAAGAATCTTTTTTCTATAACCAGATCAAAGACAAAACAAATGGAGAGTTCTAGAAGAGGGCAAGGACTAGCTCTTTTGGCCTAGTGGGTCAAGAAAGATGAATAGAGGTGACCTTTTAATTATGTCTTGAGAGGTAGTAAAGGTAAGGTCATGGAAGTGTCTCGATCTATTAAGGACTTGGGGGTATGTTACTTCTGTGTACAACCTCTTACATGGATACAGGTAACAAAAGGGCAGACATTGGATCCTTTCAGCCCCAAGGGCAAAGTTAGAAAGACATGCTGGATATTTAATAACACATTTAAGATTTTACATTCATCAGATAATAGTCAAGACTTGCAGTTTAACTGTATTCAACAAACACTCATTGAGTACCTTAAGTGGCAGACTGGGCGAGTTCCTTTTTTTTTTTTTTTTTCTTTCTTGGCCTTACCAAAATTTATGATCAAGATCTTACTTCCAAGACACTGCAGATGTTAAGTAGTTTTTATTTGTCACAAATACTTAGATAATATATATTACTTCCATCTTGAGGAAAAAATATTTAAGCTTGCTCCACTAACTGCTAAATTTACTGCCCATATTTTTGTCCATTTCTAGTTGATTATGTATATACAACTTGGAAATGAAAGATGCGATGAACTTTTTGTAAAAAAGAAAATTGCACATAAGGCTGATTAAAAAAATATGGTGGGTTATTGTATAATGCTAAATTTAATTTTTAGTGTCATAATAACGATACATTTGACCACTGTTATAACTTAATGTGTATCCCCCCAAAATTCTTATGTTGAAGCTCTAACACTTCATGTGATGGTAATTGGAGGTGGGGCCTTGGGAGGTAATTAGGTTTAGTTGAGGGCATGAAGGTCCTCCATGGAGGGCATAAAGGGGCCATCCATGATGGGATTAGTGTCCTTATAAGAAGAGGAAGAGGAGAGACATTAGAATCAGTTTTAGCACAACCTAACTGGTAAGCAGTGCGGTATAGACTCAAGAAGGCTGACGGGGTGCCGAAGGGCAGCAGCACCAGAAGGATATTGAAATGGCCAGTTAGAACCCCCTGAGAAGGCTCTAAATCATAAGAAGGGATCTCCAGCCTACAGCACTGGAGCCTAAAAAGTACCCAGATAACAGCCAGCTGTAAAGAGGGCAGGGTTGTTCTCTGACAGAGATGGGCAGCTAGAGACGCAAAGAGCCGTTTAAAGGGCCAATGCATAAATTTTTATTTGCAGCCATGTACCCTGGTCTCCCACAAAAGCAAGGGCAGAGTGCGCTGGGGCCACCTGGGGAGACTAGGGAAAGAAGCTTTGGCAAGAGAACTGAGAGTAGCTGGCAGGATCCCAGTACTGGCTCATCCCCCATATGGCAGCAGCCACCTGGCTCAGATAGACCACTCTCCTGAGTGGCAGCAGCATGAGAGGACCCAATAACGCCACCCCCAGGAGGAACTCTGCCTCGCCCTATGATGTCTCTAAGCCAGACTGCTGAGTGCAGCATGATTAGATTAACAGCTGAAGGAGACAGGCACAGACAGTAGATTTCTGAAAGTCTCAAACGGACTACCTAAGGTCAGGCAGGGTCAACAGCTGACATTATCAGAGGCAGATCCAGAAAGAAAAAAACAGCGGTGTCCTACCATAGAAGTTCACACCACAAAGCCAGGAAATCAAGACCAATTTAAGAAGCAGAAGCAAAAAAGAAGAGTCCCACAAATAATGGGAAGACAAAGAAACCCCCCCACCCACCACTGGTCGAAGGGAAAGGAGTTCCCCAGAAAGAGAACTAAATGAAATAGAGGCAAATCAACTATCAGATATGAGTTCCAAACGCCAGTTCTAAGGAAGCTCAATGACCTCAGTGAGCTCAGACAGAATTACACAGAAAAAAACTACAGGGAAAGTACGAGAACTTACTGCAAACTATACCAGCATGAAAAAGGACATAGAAACTATCAATAAGAGGCAAGAGGAAATCAGGAATACAATTTCTGAATTGAAGAACACAGGAGAAGGAATAAAAAACAGGCTAGATGAACCAGAGGATCGAATCAGCGAGCTGGAGGACAAGGCAGAAGAAAGCTTCCAGAAAGAGCAAGAAAATGAAAAAAGACTCGAAAAGAACAAATAGGTACTTAGGGAAAGGCAGGAAAACCTGAAACATAATAATAGCCATATAATAGGGATAACAGAAGGAGAAGAGGAGGAGCAAGGGATAGAGAATGTTTGAAACAGTGATGATGGAAAACTTCCCTAATTGGAGGAGATAAAAAGTCACAGAAGTCCAGGAAGTACAGAGGGTCCCATCCAAGAGGAACCCAACAGGGTCCACTCCAAGACACATCATCATTAAAATGGCAAATATCAAAGACAAAGAGAGAATCCTAAAGGCAGCAAGGGAGAAAGAGGTAGTAACATAGAAGGGAGCCCCTGTACAGCTAGCAGCTGACTTCTCAACAGAAACACTGCAAGCCAGAAGGGAATGGCAAAAAATATTCCAAGTCATGAAAAGCAAAGGCCTGCAACCAAGACCGCTCTACCCAGCAAGGCTCTCAATTAAAATGGAAGGCAAAATAAGGAGCTTCTTAGACAAAGGAAGGCTAAGAGAATACATCTCCACCAAACCAGCATTGCAAAATATGCTAAAGGGACTGCTTTAAGATGAAGAAAAAAGAGTCTATGAATACCCAGTTCCTTTCACAGTCACCAATACTTGATTATACCAATATTTTTAACTTATTAATTTGATTGACAATTATTTTGTTGTTTGTTGAAACTAAACCTCTGTACATTTCTTGTCTGTTTCTGTTATTTTTTTAAAAAAAGCTTTAAGTTACTTTTTGGTATACTTTATCCATTTTTTGATTAAATGTTTGTAGAATTTCTCCCCTAAAAAAACAATCCAACCATTAACCCTTTTATAGATGCGTTGCAAATACTTTCCTATTGTATTATTTGGCCTTCAAGTTTTTTTTACATGAATATTACTGTATAGTCTTAAATGTTTAATAGTCATATTGTCAATATTTTACTTTATAGCTTCTGGTTTTAATGTTACTTCAGGGTAAGAAAAATATTATTTTGTATTTTCTCCTAAAACTCCTTAGATTCTACATATTGATTTTTTAACTCACCTGATTATTTTTTGTATACTGTGTGAAATAAGGCTACTTGTTTCATTTCAAGTAATAGTGGTCTATGCTCCTTATATGTTGAATAAGCCTTATTTTCCCCATTGATTTGAAATATCAATTTAATCATGTTAGACAGAAAGATACATGTTTGTTTCTAGAATGCTCATTTTATTTCACTGACATACTTAATTATTTCTGTGCTGGTATCATGATTGCTGAGACTTTTATAATGGATTTAAACTTTTCAATATTTTATAATGGGTCTTGACATTTAAAAAAATAAATAAAATCAATCTGTATTTAAAAAAAAAATAAAGGAATTCCTACCTTTGTGACAACATGGACAGAACTGGAGAATATTATGCTAAGTGAAATAAGCCAGTCAGTGAAAGACAAATACCATACGATCTCACCTCTAACTGGAATCTATTCAACAAAATAAACTAACGAACAAAATTAACCACAGGCAAGGAAACATGGAGCAGACTGAAAGTGACCAGAGGGGATGGGGAAGGAGGACAATGGTGGAAAGGAGAAGGGACTAGACAAAGAACATGTATGAATGACCCATGGACATGGACAACAGAGTGGGAATTGACTGTGGGGTGGAATGGATGGAATAAGGCAAAGGGGGAAAAATTGAGACAACTGTAATAGAATAAACATGATTTAAAAATAAAATGTTTCTTTAAAAAAAGGAGAGGAAGAGACTAGATGCTTTCTCTCTACCACTGGGTGGGGACCCAGCGAGAAGGCAGCCATCTGCAAGAAAAAGGGTAGTCAGCAGGAACTGAATATGCCAGCACCTTGATTTGGACTTCCTAGCATCCAGAACTGTCTACTGTGTAAGCCATCCATTCTGTGGAATTGTTGTAGCAGCCCGAGCTAAGACAACCACCAATTAATAGAAAAGTACCCTTTTATTGAGAGATAAGACAAGTGTATTTACAATATTGAGTTGTTAGATCATATAGTCTGACTGGGAGACTTTTTAAAGCAGCAGTATTCTAGGAATTACAACTAATGAGGGGAAAAGAAAAACATTCCAAATAAGGTTTCTGTTACAGAAAATACATTTGAACAATGCCAGAAACACTTAAGGCTAAGTAGAATTTGACCTCTTCTTCCATCTTTATAGCAATAATCAAAGTACTTTTTTTTTTGTCACTGAGACATAAGATTAATTTTGGAAAGGAAGAAACAGTATATTTTAGAAAAACTGAAATAGTGGAGGATTAGTATGTTTCAAAATAGAGCCTCTTCAATGGCTCTGAATAACAAACATACAAAGCTGCCCTGCAGTCCCAAACTCACATTTGAGATTAACCATGGACGGGTTTCAAACCGAGAAGTGCTCCAGCCTCTCAATCTTACTAAGGACCGGGAGATGAGCAAAACCTTTACATGCTCCTGTCTGAGGATGCTTTCTGAAATAAGATTGTTGAAAAAGACATCTGTTACAGTGCAAAGAACATTTGATAGAAATTCATGCCCACAAAGAAGTTAAATAATAACAGATGTTCCTTACATTAACAGATATTGTTCTTGCTCTAAAAAGGTATAATTATCTAGCCTTTGTAAATAATATGGGTCAGTCAAAAATACATATAACAACTCCTACAGGGCAACTTATGTAAGTCAATCCCCAAAATATGTATATATTTGACACTCTCCACATGAGGATATTACTTTTTTGAAAAGCATTAGACACAATACTAGGTCTCTTATTATTCCATGAACTATTGAGGTAGGAGTCTCATTTTGTCAATATCACCTATTTTTCACAGATTATTTCTTAAATCATATGCCAGTACCAAAGAGACAGTAATCCACAAGACTGAACCATTAGATAATATACCAAGTCTTTCTTTCTTTAAACAAGCAAGGTTGGGAGTTCTGTGCATCAAGGAATTTAAGTAAAAGTAACATAGACCAGAATACATTTTGTAGTCATGTTTGTACATAAAAAGCACAAATTTCAGTTATGATTTTATGTGTTAAAAAGCTTTGCAACTGTTTAAAAAAAGTAAATAGTGCAATCATTTAGTGGTAAAACAAATAGTCCTATGGCCGTTGAAATGTGTTCCTACGTCTACAACAAAACCTGCCACTGTGGAAAACTACTGAAGAAACAACCAGTTTTTTACTCTCTGCCAAGCAGCAACAGTAGAAAAGAACACCACGCTATTTTTTTAGTGTCATATTTTTAAGAAACTATAACCAGTTTAATTAGAGTAAAATAACCTCAGTATGTGAACTCAGATATTTGACTCAAGATGAAGAGTGATCATATGAAGCATACATACTGATTTTACGCCATGAAAAAACTGAAAATAAGGGAAAACTCAGCTTACATGAATAGCCCTTAAAAAACAGCTTTATGTTTAACCTTTTAACATGTTACGTCTTAAGTAAACATTACCAATAGTTATTTTAGTTTGTAAAAAACATAATGAACTACTGATATTTTTTAAGTAGAAGGAAAAAAACTACATCATGACATGGAAAATCCATTTGGTTTGCATCAATTATATCTTAAATAAAAGACTACTCAATACGACAAGCTATGTAATAGACTACTTCATGGCCAAGAATTTTTTTTGTTAAATGCCTACATGTAATGAAAGATACAGATGCAGTCTTAGACTCCTAAGAAGAGTATTTCCAGAGCATGTTGCTGACCCAAGATGTGCTTAGTCAGCTATAATTTAGAAATCAAGCTAGTAAAGAATGATCTTTGCATATTCCAACAGAGAATACCTACTTCAGATTTTCAGCTGGCTTTAAAATATTGATTCAAAAGAATCACAAAAGTTTTATTTTCACCACATGTTTACCAAAAAAAAGTGATTCATACATCAAAACTGGGTTTTCCTTGGTTTTAATACAATAAAATAACATAATCCAATCATGTAATCCAGTCTAACTCATGCATCACTTTTGGGGACACTGTAACACTGGAAATATTTTTTCAATTGCAGTAGACATTTCTAAAAAGCAAATGCCTATGGGTGGGTGTTCCTGAACCTTCAAAATAAAAACAAAAGAGTCAGGCACCATAGCTCTCTAATGATGGTTGTGTTTTACACATTGTAGAAAGAGCTTCAATATGCATTGTAACAGATTTCATCTCCTTCAGTTTGCTTGCTGACTTCTTAGGTCAAGAATATCACTATGCATTGTAACAGACTTCATCTCCTTCAGTTTTCTTGCTGACTTCTTAGATCACCTGATTAAGAAGCCTATTTCCATTGCTTCTTTGTTATCTGCTGTGGTACTTTGTAGATATACATTTTAAACTTCTGTAAAGAACATCACAAGCTATTTCATGTAATTTAATTTTGTGCTGAATATTCTTCAAAGGATTTTATAAATAATACAATATTTTAAGTGAGTCTTCAGTTCACTGTTGTTATACCATATTGTTGCTTTCTCCAACTTTATCTACAAACTGCAAAAAGAAAAACAAATAATTAAAAGAAAGCCTTCGGCATTATAAAATATTACATCAACATTTTAAATGTTGATTTAATCCAGCTTTAATAAGATTTGTGGAAATTTAAGGTATGACCAACAATGATTACTCTAGTACTACTCACCACCATCTTCTGATACATAAATGTGCATAAAAATTTTTTTTTCTAAAAGTTGTTTTTGCACGACATGTTCTACATATGACTTTACGGTGCAATGTGAGAAATGCAACACAATGAATAAGAAAATTGGATAAAATGAGGTTAACACTGATAGCTTAACAAAAAAATAATAAAATAAAAAGGTGAAATGTCACAGCCATTCATTCATTAATGAACCCAATAAAATAGTTTAACTGACCATTACTGTGGATCTCTCCTGGGCCTATGTAGTCTTTGAACAAACAGATTTAACTCCATTAAGATCAATAATTAACACCAGCTATTGACTAAAAGCACTTTAAATGTGTATCTGGATTATAGACCTAAAGTGACAGAGACATTAATAATAGATGTAATGATGTAAGCATAAATTTATAATTACTTAATATAGGTTTTAACACATATTAATGTAAGCAGTTGTTTACTTTGGTTACTTCACCCCAAACATAAAGCAATTGGGCTTTTGCCAGCAATCCAGATGGGTGATACAAGCAAATACTGAAACAAAATAATAGTGGAGGTACTACAAGTAACCAAAGTGGTTGTTATACCATCAAAACCTAGCCATAACCTATCTCTTTTCTTTTTTAAGGATTTTATTTATTTATTTATTTTTAGAGAGGGGAAAGGAGGGAGACAGGGAGAGAAACACCAATGTGTGTTTGCCTCTTGAGCGCCCCCAACTGGGGACCTGGCCCACATCCCAGGTATGTGCCCTGACTTGGAATTGAACCTGCAACCCTTTGGGTTGCAGGCCGGCACTCAATCCACTGAGCCACACCAGCCAGGGCATAATCTAATTCTTTCATTTCATTATTCATATTTTTTTTACTTGAGCATTATTACAATGAAGTAATAATAATAGGAAACAGAATGGGTATTCATTTATGCAAATGTTGAAGAATGCTTAAATTAAGGACACGAATAACGATTACAATCCTAAAAGTTTCAGTAAATTCAAACACCATTCTAAGTGTAAACAACACTACTGTATGAGTTTGGAGGTTAATGCCAATAAAATCAGGATAGACCCCTGTTAAGTCTAGGTTCCAACATCTTCTCTTTAAATTTTATATTATGGCAAATAGGTAACTGGCACACTAAAACTAAAACTTGCTCTGAAAGTACTCATGGATTCATTAGAATTTTAAGGTGAAGTGAGATAGCGAGAAAGCACAACATTCTCTCTTCAAAGGTAACTTCTAACATGCAGATTACCTGGACTGTAAGGTTCTGACTTAAAATTAACATGAGGATAAAACTAAAATTAGGCTTACAGTGGGGTACCTTTAGTTCTTTGAGAATGTGATAAATGCTATGGACTGTATCTCTAGAAACATCTACAAAATTCTAAACAATTTTAGGCCCACACTGGAAAAACAGATTTGACAAGACCACTCAAATCACAGAGTGCTGGGCACAGAATTTCATCATCTGACTTTCCCTATAATTTTGCTTCATTTAATTGTCTTACTGCATGCACCTCATTTGGTGAGACAGTGTAAGAAAGAAAATATTCATGAGAAATAATGATGTCATTTTTACATTATTGCTTCTGAAATTAGAGATCATATAAAAGTTACCTGAAAAGTACGCTGAACTCTCAAAGTGAAAGGTAGCATAGCATATCAATCCGAATTGTATTAAAAAATAGAGAAAATATTAAAAATGAATACAGTGTAACAAAATGTCAGGTTTTATAGATTTACCAATGGTTACTTTTTCTGGTATTCATGGTATGTATGATCTATGTGATACAACCACTTATATTGTAATAAAAACATCAATTAATCATGCTTCAATTACTCCAATTTCTAAAAGTACAGAGCACCAAAGATCATTTTGATGGTTTAAAAATTATATTTTTAAATACAGGTATACTTACTGATCTAATTCCGGGTAAATTTAAGAGGGACCCAAGGACTGGCACTCTCCTAATGAAGCCAATGACCACGGGAAAGAAGCCCCTAGGAGAAAGAGAAAATGGTTCTCTGTGCGTGCGCGTTCTCTATTACCGAAATCATTGCTAACCAAGCAAAAAGAGTCTGTCAAAATTTTGAATATTTTTAGAGACTCAAACTTCACTCAGCATTTCTCACCTTTCCCAGGATTTGATTCCTTCTTGAATTATGTTCCTATAAAATTTTGCATATATACTTACAACGGCATTACTACTATATCCTACTAGTATCTTTATCTATTTTCTACATGACAAGTTCTCTAAAGCGGATTTGGCACTTAATTCATATTTACATCCCCTGTGGGCAATATGGTATGCGGGAGACAAACAACAAAGCATTGATATATACATTTCTTGAATAAATTATTAAACCAATCTTACTTAAAGGTTTTTTCTTTTTTTTACATTGCATAGTATTGTTTATTCACTTAGTAACCTGCATTTGTAAAATATTTACTGATTAAAATTTCCCATAGTGTATATGATACATTTTCTAGTATGTATAAGCACTAAAGAAATTGCTATCAAGTGGCAGTAACTATGCAGTATCAGGTTCTGCATATTAAAATGCCGGTTCTATCTACATATCTATCACTTTTAGTTGATGACAATAGCAAACATAAAGACAGTGCCTTAAAAGGCCAATAAAATGAATTTCATTAAATTGAAAATATTTTCCAAGATAACTCATACCCTTACATAGGCAATTATCCACATCTGATAAAAATTTTATAGTTGATTAAAATATCAAAAACTGCAATAAAAGATTCAGTGTAAACAAAAATCCATTCAAGAAAATTACAGTCTTCTTAATCATGCTGGTTAAACTATCTGGGTTTTTAAAAATAATTATTTGACATACAGTTTTATTGAAAAAGAAAAAATAAAATGACTTCCTTACCTGAACAAAAGAAAGAATCCATAAATTTCGAAGATCATGCCTATCAAAGGCCAACCAATAAGGACTACAAATACTCCACCCAAGAAAAATCCTGTGGCTTTCATTTTATGTTTTTGGAAGAAGAATCTGAATGTTCTTTCTAAACCAATTACAAAAGCCAAGCCAGCCACAAATAAAACCTACAGAAGAAAAAAAAATGCAACATAGAAAAAGTAGGTAAGCACACTGCATACATTTGAAAAGCAAGGTCAAAGCTAAATATAAAAAAAGGAGCACATCTGGCTTTCAATGTGTGCAACTGGCCAGAGAGAACTACAATGCACACCAAGAAGCAGAACCAAAGAGTGGGCTAAGGATGTGAAAGCTGTAGTAGTGCTGCACTTTTCTCTATCCTCCTCTATCTTGATTAAATGGAGAAAAAGAGAAACAAGGAATGATTACTAGACTTTACCAACCGGCATCTGCATCAGCAGTGGTTTTCCTAGGGTTAGTTACGTGGAGATGGCTTCATCAAGCAGATGAATGGCAAGACAAAAGAGGGAAGCTGACCATCAGTATGTCACCTGAAGGTACTCCTGGTTCTGCAAACTTCACCCTGGGCTACAGGAGCTACTGTGGATTGGAGAAATACTGACATGGCCAAGGTGGCAGAAGAAAACATACAAAGCCAGGAAAAGGATTCTAGTTTTACTGATTCCAGAATATCTGGTGGCAGCAGTAATAAAATTATAGCCATGTGTTCTCAAATATACATATATTTTGTATGTTTTCAGATAGTGGAAAAGAAATGGTGATCTATTAGAAGCTTGTTTTCCCCCAAGTTTTATTCCCAAATCCTTGCCTTTCATTATTAACTTTTTTAGTGAAAAATATTTCACATAAATATTGATTAAAAGTCAAAGGTTAAACTTCATATTGATAATAATGCTGTTTATATTATTTATTAAAACATCCATTTTGAACAATTTTGTTATCCTTTGTATTTACCAATTTGCAATTAAAAGCCCAATGGTAACGTACACTTCAAAGATATCTAATGGGGGCTATCAAGTTACCTATTTTTAACTCTTTAGAGGCAGCTTTGATTTAACCTATTTTGTAAATCATATATTAAACACTTAACATAGTCAAGGATTAGAAAACCTCATTAAGTGTTTACCTGCTGTTTAAACAGAAAGCTAACAGGTTTCATTCCTGATGGAAACAATGTAACAGAAATCTTTACACAAATAGTAGTGAATTATTTCCCCTAAATTTAATTGCAGGCAAGATTTCATTTGTAGCTAGCATTTTCCTATGAAGTTAGTTAAAATATATATTTAAAAAACTCACATTTCCAATAGCCAGTAGTGCTTTGTCAAAAAAGAGAATCATTCCAAAGAACAGGAAAAACACTCCAAATCCTGTTAATCCCATTCCAATTTCTGCAATATAAGTTATACGGTTAGGGATAGAAAAAACATTAAAATCTCTGTAAACTAAGATAATTTTCCAGTTTTTCTTTTGGCTGATATAAAGAAAAAGGTTCCCTGAAGTGTGTTATCATCAGTATTTAGCCAAGTAAAGAGAGCAAAGGGATTTAGACATTGAGCTTAATAAAAGAGGGAACATGAGCCTGCTTGCTTAGTCAGGAGGCTACAGCTTCACACCCCAGGGGACCATAGCATTTCTCTGCCAAGGGAAACGGTCCTCCCTTCCCTCCTCCGCTATCAGATGGCTGAGGGGCACAGGGGATGGTGCTGGACCATAGCGGCCTGTCAGTCTAACAAGGGGGTGTAAACCTATCAAAATCATGCAGAAAATCGGGAAGCTGACTGGTCATTTTGAAAAAGCACCTGCTCCGTCCCAAACCCAAATTCCTGGTCATAATCCCAGGGGAACAAAGAAGCTTGTGTGTTCTCTTTCTCTCTCTCTCTCCCCTCCTATGACCCACGCTTGCACGGTGCATTCGCCTGTTTTCTCCATGGCCATGTGGCCCTATCCAGTCTCATGGGCCATGACCGTGTGGACTTCACAAACAGGCTCCAGGAGGGGGCCTGAATTATCTCAGTGCCACAATGGACAGCAGCTGGAAACACCTGCTAAACTAGCTGGATGCTGGGCGGGACTGCACTTTAATAGGGAGCAGAAACTCTGGGCAAAGGCCTTTATTCTGGCCCTACTGAAGACAAGACTGGACATTTTCCACGGCGAGACAGATGCAGATCGGACATTGGGAAGTCAGAAGGGGAACCTCCTTAATTTTACATCATCAATAAAGTTTACTTTGGAACCAACCCGACCCTCCCATGCAGGTCTCAGGAAATTCTTTTCCTTGTGACACTGCAAGACTTCACTTCCGCTGATAACAACCGCAGGTTAACTTTGTAATGACATCCACTGAGATCTATAACAAATTAAATTAACACCAGCAAATTACCTTGAAATTTAAAATATAAATGGAAATTTCTAATTCTTATATGACAGAGCATTTCTTACAAACATACCCATAATAGAGAAAGATAAATCAGGATTCTAAACCTTTGGTCATATATTTTTTCCCTTCCAAGAATCCCTCTGGCATCAGACATAAATATATGGGTTTACTTTTATTATTTATCTCCTATCAAATTCTATGACTATTATTTATATGAACAGTATCTGCAGTTCCTTCTGTCCCCTCTAAAATTCCTTCCTTCTATAACCCATTAGAAATTGCTACTGTAGGTCAGTACAATATTCTTCAATCCAGTGGCAACAGGAAATATTTTGAGAATCACGGAGCGGTCTCCTCAAAAATTAAGTTTCAAAAGGTTCAGTATCACTTTTAACTTCTAATGGCTTATCATGAATTTATCTTTTACAAATTTATCCCAACTATAAATCTATTCACATATTTAGTTCTGAAGCCACCTCTCCAAAGTTTCAAAGAATACTGTTTTACCTAATATTAACATTCTGAGTTTTTGCTTTTTCATTCAAAAACAAAGAATTGTTGATCAACTCCCAGATGCCAGCAACTGTTCTAAGTACTGAGTATGTATACAGTGGTGGGCGAAGTGTAAGCTTTGAAGTCCATATATAAAACTAAAAATTTTATTGCCTTTACATTCTCCAGGACTTATCTTTTCTAGTTTGAAGAATGTTACTTCCTAAGGTTACAGTTGTACTTTTCCATTAATACTACAAAGCACAATCAATCCACTAAGTCACCTCCTTAATCATTTTAGTTTTGTTTTCAGGAAAAAGTTACCAATCTTCATTTCACCCAGAAACACTATCTGCATAAAATAATTAATCAAGGCAGAAAACATAGTATTTTTGGATAAACAATTTTAAATACACTATTAGTGATTTCTGATCTGTTACTTAACTTTTTTGCCTCAGATCCAGAAAGCTAAAATCTTGGTTATGGATACTTAAAAAAAAATTTTAAGCCATGTAAAATGTTTTGATGAGTTGCAAATTTATATCATATACCTTTTTCTAATTCCTCTATCTCCTCAATTTACAGTTAACTGCTGCCTTCCATTCCAGCTACCTTTTTCTCCCAAAGTTACTCTAAAAGAATTCAGGTACCTGTCTAAAAATACACTGGTAACTGTATTCAATACACTGGTAAGTGTATTCCACAGATGCTAATTTCCATGAAAGTTTGAGGCTGATACTTTCATGCTTAAATGCCTTAAAAGAACTGACCAAAATAACTGTTTAGATGGCAGACATAACGTCCCAGAGGAAAATATGGACATAAGAGAGAGTAAAATCCCATTTAATAACCAGTGAGTACTTATGGTTTAATCACTGGCAGCTGAGTTAAATGACTATGACATTTCTATCTTTTCACAAACTATAGCAATGATTACATAAAAAAATTTAAGATGTTTGTTCAGAAAGGAAAATATATGGCAATATATTTGTATTGCCATATAATTGAGAATTCAGCAGAATTAGCCATTATAAGGTACTTTACTTACATGCCTTATATTACTTAATGCTCCCAATACTACTGCAATACTACTGCAAGGTAGGTGTCATTAATTACATTATTTTAGAGATACTGGAAACTGACATTTAGAGAACTGACTTAATTTGCCTAAAGCCACAATTTCCTTCCCGTAGAGCATCTGAACTCAGGTCTATTTGAAACCAAAGTCTGTGTGCTTAACCATTATGCCATACCGCTTCCCACAGGACTTTTAGGTTAAATTTTTTTTGTTAAATGAAGCTCAGGGTCATTAGAATACACTGAACTTGTGGGGGAAGCATCTTTAGCTGATTCAGGTTTAATATAATTAGTTTATTAACATAACTAAGTAGATGTAAGTAAAGCTACTAGAAATTTACTGTAGTGAAAAAGGACAATGTCTAAATATGGTTTTACACTTAATGAAATGTTTATATAAATACATTATACAAATACATTGTAATTCCTTTAACAAATTATGAGGTAAAATGTAGCGCCAGTCCAACACTTCACATGGGTAACCAAAGACTCAGAGATTTGCAACTTATCCTTGATCACAGAAATCTGCAGAAGAGAGCGGGGTGGCAAGTCCCGAGGGTGATGGAGGACAGGTTTTGGTGGTGTGGGGTCAGGCTGGGCATTCAAATCCAGTATAAGACTGCACAGTATGAACAACTGTAACATGTAAACCGAAACATTCCTAGGACTTTATCCAGTGTAGTCAAGCAGATCTTTGTAACATCTTTTCCAAAACTGGCACTAGCGTGATGTTGCCAAGTATTCCTAGTGTGATGGGGTCAAAAGTCTCAAACTGGTCTCATTGTGCCTTTTTCTTAATCTCCAGAATTCCCTTCTTTCCTATGTCTGCAAACCCATAGGCCTGCCCTCTCACCACCAGAATCAGATCCAGTAAAATAAATTTCTCTTCCTCTTGTGCACTATCAAACCTTTATTCCTCTTGCCATTGTGTGTGTTTAACGAACAATCTGATAAAAGCAATCTAATAAAATGAATGTCTAAAACAAAAAGCTTATTGTAGAAATTTTATAAGAAAAGATGCTTAATCCAATGGTGCTTACTGTTAGCATTTTGGTATCTGATCTTAAATATTTTAAAGCAGCACTGTCTTTCTTTGTATGCCTTTAAAAAAAATAGAAGATGTAAGAATAAAGAACTCAAATGAACAGCAACTGAATTGAACTTAACTGTATTATGGTAGAATTTCAGGCTATATGATATAATGAAGTAAAGATTTAGAGGCAGCAAGGGAAGAGCCCCACTCTGTCCCACTTGATAAACCTTGTGTTTTTATGAGGGGTCAGGGGAGTGCTGTTACACAATTTCTTAAAACAGTCACAAATTGTTGTTTATTCCACTTTGATCAGTACTTGGTCATCCTCTCCCAGAATCAGAATCCCTGAGTAATCTTGGAAAATCACTAGAATGATATACCTGGAGTTAAATACACACAAACACCATTTGAAGTCCAAAGGGCTTTGGTTCACTAATCATTTTGTGTTCCAGTCCACTGTCCTAATTAAATCACTTGGCAAAAGAGCAGCATAGAGCATAATGGCATTTTCCTCATCAACTTAATGAAGAGAGGAAAATGCTCCCCATTCTGCCCATATTCCGACCCAACTCTCTTGTTCTTGTTTTTGGAAGGATGTAAATGAGGCACTTGTCCCTATAGTAAGTCTTCAACATCAAAGAATGTCCATGTACAGGATAATTCATATTTATATCTAGGTAATAATCAGAAACTCAGACACATGGGAGTAATAATATTTTACAGTTAGATAGGAAAACTATGTAAAGTTTAAGTACTTCAAGTAATTGGAGTTAGAAATAAATTCTAGCAATTTGTGTATACAATTCCTTGGGCAACCTAATTTTAATTTAACAGAGCATGGTGTCTCATAAAAAAAAAAAGGCTCTGAATAGCCTACAAAATTTTCAAAAAATGCTTAATTCTCTAAGATAAATGTCTACCTACTGTTGGAACTACTTTGGCTGTGAAAGAATTTCATCCTGCTAAGACAGATCTCAAAGTTTGTATCATCTTTTATATGCTAATAGAGTAAAAAGAACGAAAGTGTTTAAGCCAACAGAGCTGAGATCAAGTCTTATTTCTGTGACTTTACTTATGATCATATATTGAATTTCTTTTGAGCCTCCTTTCATTTATAAAAGAGATACACTCCTCTCTATCTTACAGGGCTCCTACAAGAATTGAGTGCAATGATTTATGTGAAAGCACATGGTAAACTGAAAGAAGATGCCATTATACAACTGGTAGTCTTTATTATAACAGGAAAGAAAGAAAAGAAAAGAAAAGAAAAGAAAAGAAAAAAGAAAGAAAGAGAGAAAAAGAAAGAGAATGAGAGAAAGCGAGAGAAAGAGAAAGAAAGAGAAAGAAAGAGAAGGAAAGAGAGAGAGAAAGAAAGAAACAAAGAAAGAAAGAAAGAGAGAGAAAGAGAGAAAGAAAGGACTACACTTAGATTTTCTCTGGTCAGAAGAGATGAGGCCAAACGACCAAAAAGGGCCAGGGCAGGTGGCCCCGAAGTGCAGACTCAGGCCAGTCCTGGGAAGGAGGGAGCCTGACGGGGGTGGCTGTGCAGGTGCACCACCTCAGACGCTCTGGGAGGTTCAACTCAGGCGCGACTGGAACCCAAGCCTTGGAACTCCACTTTAAAATGGAGCACTTTCAATGCAGTGCTATTTTCCTTTCAATAGGTTGTTTAATTCTTAACATCCTGAAACTCCAAGCTATCCAGAATAAGAAGTAAAAGGTGTGGCTGAAAAAGCAAAATGGGATAAAAAGAAAAATCTATCTCTACCGTCCAAAGGTAGGGTAGCTAGCGCAGGGCTGGGCAGATACGTGAAGACAAATTAAGACTGGCACACAGGAATCTAAAAGTCGGAATGTCACACTGAAAGAAAAGGAAACACAGCAACGCCAACCTTAAAGCCAGGTCTACAGAATTCTGAGGCAGGCAGAAAGAGATGCTACAAAAATAAAACAGGCTACAAAGCACAACATACAATACCAACAGAAGAAATCCTTTAATCAACACAGTGACTTTTTACTATTGTGGAAGCATTAGCTGGTAGATAAGTGAAGTCATTTCAAGGGATTTTTTGGAAGGTTATTTCCACTGCTGGCAAAAGGCGCGTGTTCAGCATATTTAAGCGAACATATTTTCAAAAAGAGCCTACAATAAGTGACATTTAAAATACCTCCTCCCAGACAACCAGCCAGTAACTTGCAGAGAATCCCAAGTCAGTCCTGTCCACAAACGTCCTCAAGAGTGGGCCGCGGTCGCCGCCAATCCAACTTTCCCCGGCGGCGGTCCGCAGGAACAAAGCGCCCGTCTCACCGCGGGTGGGAGAGCGGCGCGGCGCGGGCGCGAGGTAGACCCTCCGCGAGAGCTCCCCTTCCCCGGCTCGGGCGTCTCCCCAGACCCCACTGACTCTATTCCCTGGCTAGGTCCGCCACTGCCAAGCCCAGCCCTCGCCCTCTCAAGGCAGCCGTACAGGTTCCCACAGCCCGAGAGGTTTCGCAGGCCGCCGCCCCCAACGTGGAGCTTCATTCATTGACCCGCACGGGGGGTAGCGGCAGGGCGAGACCCAGCCCGAGCAAGGGGTGTCCGGGGCTGAAGGTGGGGACCCGGGGAAGGTGCTTACTCTGGGTATCTGTTAAGGAGATCATGGCTGCAGTCGGGAGGACAGCGACGACGGCAGCTCGAGCAACCCAGGATGCGAAGCAAAATCAGGAGTAATGAAGCCGGGAAACAGCCCAGGGGAAAGCCGCCACGTCTTCCGGAAACACGCAGACACCCTCACCCCAGCTTCAAGACGGCTTTCTATTGGCTAAACCCACTCCCAATATCAACCGACTATCCGTAGCCTTGTTCGGTGATGCGATGGTGGCCACACCCCTTGACCAATTAGAGGAGGGTATTACTTGCAATTGGTTGAATGGACCGACCCGGAAGGGTGGATGCTCTGGCCTGGAGAGAAAAGAAAGCTTGGTGGCGGGAACTTCTTATTGGCAAGAGGCTGAAAGCGGTAAGTAGCGGTTCTGAGTTCCGGGCACTTTGGAGTCAGAGACTGGGGAGGCCGGAGCAGGTGTTTATTAACCTCTTGGGGAGAGTTTCTGCAGTTTCTCCGGTTACGCTCTGTAAGGGCTAATCTTTGCTTTTCCTGCCTGAAGGTCAGGCCGGTCTATAGCGGATCACTTCCTTCCACTTTGGCAGGGGAGGCACGAGGGCGTTTATCGTCACCCAGCTCGGTGGAACTCAGGCCTTTAGGGCACGTTCCTTTTACCTCCAGCCTTTTCCACGCAGGAAGCTTGGTCGCCAGACGGTGGCTGTTCATTGGCCGCAATTGTTTATGGGGAAACACCAGTGGGGACGCGTAAGCGCAAGGGAGGGTATTATTAAATTGCTGTTGCCTCTAAGCGCAGGTGGCAGGGAGAGGGGAGATGTGTGTCTGATTTAACCTGCGGTACCACAGTGGCCCGTCCATCAGCCTCGATGACTGGCTGCGAGGCTGTAAAATATTTCTGTGGGTGCTGTCAAAAATTCAGAAAAAAAAGTAAAACCAGTGAATAACGGAAGTAGTGAAAGTTTGTTTCTTCAAACACCAAAAAGAAATTGCAGTAACCGGGAGCACTCAAACCAAAACATGAACTGAGACTCAGAGGTGTATTGTTAAAGCAGCTTATACAGGGAGAAGGTAGTGGCTGCTTATCTTAACAGTGATTGATTATAACATTAACATTGTGTTAAATGATAAGGAATTGGTCAGCGATTATCTGATATCAACCTTGGGAAACTGTTTTAAGTTTTACTTAGAATTTCCAGAGGTGAAAATAAGAAACAACCCAGGTTTAGTTAGTGTGCCTGCTCAGGTGATTTTCAAGGATAGACTTCTTTTCTTTGTGCTTCTTTAGCAGTGCTAGCTCTATATGAGTGACAGACTTGCTATAGCTCATTCATTTCTGAACATACTTTATGTTGATAAATCTTTTAATATTAAATCACATCATTTGAGGAAGGAATTCCTTAGCAGTTTTTTGACACTATTATCAAAGAAATCGTTTAAAATAGTCGGGGGAAATGGTGATAGAATATATTCTTTCATAAGGGCAGAGGTAGCCTCAGCTTTCAATCTCAGCAAACGTGAGCCTGCACCACATGCAAGGCACTTTGCTAGGCTGTGTGAGTGCAAAGGGAGGAGACTCAACCCCTGCCAGAAAACCTTGCAGTCTAGAGAAGGAGAAGTATATTTCCACAAAATGGTGGAGATGTTTTTATAAATAAAGAATTAGAAGTCTTTGCTCTACTCCCCTACTTCTACGTGTTACATATGCTATGGCTATTCCAAACTCCTTTGCAAGGCATAAAAGCCCCTTCCTATCTTCCCAGCCTAGTGGTGGTTTCAGAATTCTTCATTAGGAAGGGCGTAAGGTCAGCAACCTGGTTAAGGGTAGCTTCATGCTGAAGTTACCTTTGGAGAACATCCTAAGTTACTTTTAGAACATGTTGATAGCCTGTATCAGAGTTGGGGGTGGTGTTTGTGGGGACTATGGGCAACATAAAGTTCCTACCCTTAAGCCTGGTCTCCTTCCACTTGCTCATATATGCACGCTAATGTTGTTGTCATTTATAGGTATTTAGAGTTAAATACAAACCTTGTGTTTTCCCTACTTCTGAGGTTTTCAGGTTCTCTCCTTCTGAATTTACCTTCCCACCCCTATAGAATACAAAGTCCTTTTTTAAAATTGAGCCTAAATTGCAGTTCTTTAAAGCAACTATTCAGTAAAACATTAAATGATTAATTTGGGTCTTTATGTTGATGGATTTTGCTTAATCTGGGACATTTGAATCTATCCAACTCATTATTTACAGGATAAGTTCTATCCCAATTTTACAAGTAGGTAAAGAAGCTGAGAGGAACAAGGCATGTAATTTTGCTAAAATTACACAGTTATTTAGTACAATAACTATTTAATCTCAAATCTTTGCTCTTTTTTGTTATAACACTTTGTATGTAGTGATTTTTATTGTGTTATTTACATTTTACTTGCTATTACATGTTTATGTGACTTTGGACCCTTCTCCAAAAAACACAAACTCTTCCATAAAAATCAGTGTGGTAAGAACCATTTAGTCCTTATTGAAAAGATCCTTACTTAAAATGTTATTTGCTAACATTTTTTTGTGTGTGTAGTTGTAACAGAGTATCATTGATTGAGCATAATCAATAGTACTGTTTTAAAAAAAATGTTGCTATGATTTTTCTTTCAGTTTTAGAAAGAGATTTGGCTTTCCAATTCGGTTTTAGAATGGCGTCTATTTCAGGTTAGTGGAAATGATTACATTTTGTTCTATTTCTAATTGCATGTTCTTTGAAAAAAATCTGTTTTTCTCTGTATGTTTTCCTCAACTTTACTGTGAACCTTAAACTGCTCTAAATAAAAGTCTAACTAAAAATAAATAAGTAAAATAAATTTAAAGTATATTTGTTTAAAAAATTCTGATTCTAGAAATGCTGTTTTTTTCAGATTTTTAAAAATTATGCTTAATATACATGACAAAGTTTACCATATTAACTATTTTTAAGTGTACAATTCAATGGCATTAAGCGCCTTCATGTTGTGCATCCATCACCAATATCCATCTCCAGATCTTTTTCATCTTCCTAAGCAGAAACTCTGTATCCAATTAAACGGTAATTTCTGATTATCCTCTTCCTTGCAACCCCTGGTAACACTATTCTACTTTCTGTTCTAGGAATGTGACTGTTTTAGGTACTTCATTTAAGTAGAATCATATAATATTTGTTCTTTTGTGTCTAGATTATTTCACTTAGCCTTAGTCTTTGACATTCATCCATTTTGTAATACATACCTTTTTAAGGCTGAATACTACTCCACTGCGTGTATTGCACCTTCTGTATATCACCTTTTGTTTATCCATTTGTCTGTCACTGGACATTTGGGTTGTTGCACCTTTTGGCTAATTGTGAATAATGCTGCTGTAAACATTGGCGTACAAATATCTAAGTCCCTGCTTTCAATTATTTGGGTATATACCTAGAAATGGAATCACTGGATCACACGTTGAATTTTTTGAGTTACTGCTCTGTTTGTTTTCCATAGTGGCTGCACCATTTTATATTCCCATCAGCAGTGCATAAAGGTTCCAAGGAGAATGATATCTTTCTTGATTGCATTCTAGGAACCTAAAAATTGTAAAGTAGAAAATATAAATCACTCCTATTCTTATTGCTCAGATTAATACTATCACACTTAATTTATTGTTAAAAATTTAAAAAAATTTTGTGCATACTGTTTTGAAATGTGATTAAAAAGACAATGTAAATATAGACTATAAACATACTGTTAAATAAATTCTGTGTTGTAAATATTCTAGTATCTGTAGTCTTTTGTTGTTTTGAAGTGACATTCAATAATGTTACTTAATCTTTTCATGTTGAACTTTAAAACTGTTTCCATTTTTAAAACATAAAAAGAAAATGCCTTGAACATCTATGAATTGAAAACTTTGTGTGCTTCTATGGTTATTTCCTTAAGGTGTATTCTTATAAGTGGAGTTATTTAAAATGTTTTTAAAATATAAAGGAAAAACATTCATTCTGTCTTTTCCAGGCAGATACTGTTGGTATATTGATATGTCTATCCATTATTTGTACCCATAAACTTGACCAGATTGGACTGTGCTTTTTAGGAAGATCTTGCTATCTATTAGGGGTGGATGCCAATGGTGAGGAAATTTTACTATGGTTATTTTTCAGTCTTTTGTAAGGTTTAGTGAATATGATCTTGGCTACATACTAGCTCTAATAGTAGAGTGACAAGATTAGGTTTTTTTCCAACTTTAAAGAAATGGCACCCTCCTCCTGCGCCATTCACATGCAATTTTACAATTTATTTAAATATAAACATGAAAAAATAGTGACATAGGTTTTGGCTTTGACTCGTGACTCATTCTCACACTCTGAGAGTTAACAACAAATGTTAAAAACTTAAGTAATATTAAATGCTTACCCAAGCATTCTTTACTTAGAGATTAAAAATGAGGGCTTAAGAGATGTACTGAACCCCAGCTCAGTTCAGTATGATCAGTTTTGGATTGCATGTTATTTTACTTAATAAGACTTCAGTGTTATCATTGGGATGTGACTTAAAAATAACTGAACAGTGAAATAAATCTTGTTGAATAAGATATTTATTTTGAATAATTGTTTTCTTAATATTGTATCCCTTTCGAATAAATCTACCTCTTCTGTTGATCTACCCACTAGTTGAACTATATTTGAAATGCCTCTTTGAAATTGCCTTCAGATAGTTTGTTATTTTGGATCTGATGGCTTCCAAAATAAAAAATAAAGTGGCAGATTACTTTCGTGTTAACTTCAGTTTGTGATATTACTAGAAAATGCACTGTTTCTGAAGGTTGGCACCTCTGGTGCATCAGCTGTAAGCTCGGGACACTGGAGGGCAATCTCCACTCAGTTCAGTGTGCTTTTGAGATATAGTCACTGTAATAAGCCCTCTTCACTTGTAGATGCTCTTCATTATGGATTGTAGAAATCATACACTTGACTTTTCAACTTCCTTTCATATAGTAAAGTCATGTGTTGCATATTCCAGCATTAGAAGTGATATAATTTTGAACCAAAAACATTAAAATACCCGACTTATCTAGCTGTACTTAACTACCTGTACTTCTTAATATTTTTAGGCTATCAGGATTTTGTCTAAGATACAATATGACTTTGTACCATGGATTGACATTAATTAACATC